TATTCGACGATCTATCTCACGGAGCTCTAATACAATATTACCGTATACCTCCGAAATTTGCAATGCATAACAAAAACGACAGATCACTAGCAAAATCGGCTTAAAATCAACAAACATCAGAGACAGTCTATTATTGCGCAAAATAAATGAAGTGAAAAAATCATCCACCTTTAATATAATAAAACCAATATTAAAAATTGACATTTTATTCGTCGATCTTACGAGTTAACAAACAGGATGTCACCGTTGAATATCTCTGCATCGAAACTTTGGACGCAGGAATTCAAGCGAATACGAGGTGCCGATACAAGGATGGGTGGGGGAGGGGTAGGAAAAAAAATGTATCCTGTTCCCATTTCACTCGACGTCTCGTCGGCAAATAAATGTTATCCAATATCGCGGCCGCGGCCGTTCCGCGATCCCCGCCCGACAGATTTTCATTTACGGATCGTGGAGGGTTATACACGGGTATTTAAAACCGACGTGGTAGGTATCACTGTGCATCAGCGTCGGCAGAGGGGCTCGTACCGTTTCGCGGTGTTCATTTCAATTCGCCTCTAATTGAACGCTGTTCAATATTGACGAGTTAAATAATTGTCTTTGGAAAACTGAACCCGCTCCCGCGTAACCGTTAATCATCCCTCCACACCCGTGCTGTCGTTGCACGCGATCCCCGGAATAATTCGCGTCCTGCCGGACCGTAAACAGACAATCCAGAAAAATTGGAATTCGGATGGTCCACGACTGTGTAAACGAAAAATATTAAATATTCGCCTGTCATTCGGTGCCAATCGCACGGAATGGAAATCATCGCTCGCGAATAATACGCGTCACGTCGTCTCCCGTGTGTTCCGCCGTTCCGTTCCGACGTCATTGTCGTCGGCTTTGTAATTTGTTGCGATGCAAACACCCACCCCGTTCTATATATTCGCCATTTTCCGACTGGATAAATGAGCGTTTTTTCACTCGATGCTGAAAATATTCTCGTACGCGCGTTCGTTAACGGAGAAATATTTTAATCCGTAAGGGACTTCATGCGGCGTATTCGTGTACGGTTCAGTGGGGAATTTCAAGGGAAATATTAACCCTTTCGATACTATGGGCGACTGGAGTCGATTGCTACGAAAGTAACCACCGTGTAACATTAAACAGTTCCTACAGTGTTACTGTAGATTTAATATAATTAAATTTCACGTTTGATATCTATGGAAGGTACGTTTTCTTGTTTAAAAAGTTATTTCTACTTTAGAGATTGTAAATGCGCGGAATACTCTAGTATTTATGGCACTACGACTACTACTTACTATTTTACTGTCTTTTCCCTTTCTAGGGTTTATTAAATGGAAGGCTAGTACAAGCAGTAATACACGTGGAAAACTACAAACAAGATCGTGAGTGATAATCAATAAGGTAGATTTGATGGTAAGATAGTAACCCAAAAATTATAGCACTGTCGTGTAAACACGTCCATAGCAGTCGTAGCAGCCAATTCATAAAACATGTACAACGCTCATAGCACCGAAAGGATTAATGTCTAAATGCACGGAAGCATTGCCAACTTTTCGTTCGTGCACCCGTATCTCGTGTGATACGTTTCGCAAGCAGCTACAGCCTAAAGGATTACCCACGAAAGGGCGAGACAATTTTAATAATAAAATAAACTGTCAAAATGATTTTTCTCCAAAAAGAAGAATCACCCCCTGATGCAACGCTTTGCGGAACATCATGTATAATAAGATTCGTAATAAGAATGTATTGGACTCACGATTATAATTGCAATGTGAACTCCATGGAAAAAGCTTGACGATGTAATAAGCAACAGTGTGTGTCGTAATTGCACGGTGCGCGTAGGTACCGGAGGATCAAAACGCGTATACGCCACCGTGGTCGGTCTCATCACGAATCTTAATATCCCACGGTGATGCGGTTGGTCACCCTTAACGCGTTCAAGGGTTAAATCCTAGCGGCGTGGCGTCTCAGGGGCCGGTTTTCGCACAGTCGTGCGCGCTCCCCTTCGTGCCCCGTTCCGCAGCCCTCCACTCCCCCCATTCGCCTCTTGTTTTGCTCTGTTCCTGTTCTTCTCGCGCCGGCCAACAACCTGGCCTGACGGCTGCGCGCGTAAAATTGGCCGGAACGCATTTTTCCATTAGGCCGGTACCCGAGCCACGTTACAAATTATAGGTGTACTCTCTCTCGTTGGAGAGCCCCGATGAAACGAGGGGACCGATATATACGCGGCTCGGCGTTGTTTTCCTCCCTCCGCGGAGTCGGGATGCTCCAGGAACGACGACGCTTCTGATGATCGTGTTATTGGTGGCGGCGACGGCCAGGATCCATCCGGTAAAAACCAGAGGTTTCGCCTGGAATCAACGCCAGATCCCCCTGTGCCGTGCAACCTGCCCTCGCCTCCGAAGACGGATGATTAATCGCACCGATGAAAGTTCGACGAAACGTTCGTGGAGCGTTTTAGAGACTGCTTGAGATAATGAATGATTGGAGCACTCTGAAGAAATCCTTTATGTTCGTTTTGTGAGAGTCGTATGTTGAGAACCCTGCTTGGGACTGAATGCGATCGATGTAAAATACAAAAGCATTTTTAACTGACATCAATTTGCTAAATCGCGTGGAATGTCACCTAGAACCGCAGAGGGGCTGCGATCGTCGTAGATGCACGTTCCTCCAACAGAGCGATTCCATTGTAATCCTTATTTTTATTTATGAAAATCTCTCTTACAATTTTTGTTATTGTATACAATGAGCGGATTTTCTTTTACTACAGTCTTATTATTATCTAAATTCAATTTAAATGTTTTACGATACAATTTTCAAGCTCCAAAACAACGGAGTCTAGTTGGTTCGAGTCTAAACGTACTCTTCGCAGAATTGCATGCTGCAATAGGAATCGTGCAGAATTTTATAACCGAATAATGATTCGAAATCGTCGAGAATCCTCGCCCAAGCTGTGCGAAAGAAGCATCACGACCGAGGGCCACTAGCCATCGACATCACGATCCAATTAATCGATAAAACATAAAACCTTGGCAACGATCCATCGTGGCGAATCGCGTCTCGCATTACACGGTCCCGTGCGAAACAGAAACGCAATTGAATCGTACGTGAGTCGTGCAATCGGTAAGGGGATGGGATGAAATCACTTATCGTTACCGGCCGGCGTGAATGTCGTTGTTAAATTACAATTTAATGCCGTTCGTGTGGGATCGCGGCCCGCCACCGCCGCCGCCGCGACGGTTCGCGTTGAGTAATCGATGAATTAGCCGGCATGGATTCCGCGGAAAAGTCGCAAATGCGATTTTAATGTCAAGCGACTCGTCCGCCCCGTATTTTCCACGGGCGTGTCTTTAACGAGCCGTTCCCCCCGAGGCCCCGCGGCTACTTTTACCATTTTGTAACGTTATACGCGTTCTCGAGGCTGGCGGTATTCACCGCTACGCCACCGTACATACAATCTATTATAAATATGAAGTGACCCAGGCCACCGGTGGGCGAATCGCAAACGCACGAGAGGAACGTCCACTTCGAAACGGAATTCTAAAGTTCCGTTTGCTTGGCCGGCTGCATGTGGCTCGGCCGGTAATCAGGATTTCATCTCAACCAACTCGAATGAAATACATTTGCGAAAGCAGGACCAACTATTTCTAATATTCACTACTTACAATTTATACGACTCGAACCGTGAGATATTTTGTAGTTATAAAACTTCAGTACATAGTCTTGTGTTGCTTTCTGTCATCAAATCCAGGAACCTATAAGTTAACTGCTGATTCTTACTTCAGGAATACCCTGTACATTGGCGAATCGATTTCTCAGGGTTCCGTTTCCATGAATATACGAGCTATCCACTTTCCTAAATCGAATAATTTCCAAATTTCCCCCAGGCGACACGGTCCGAAGTTCCGCGAAACCGATCGATCCTGAACACGATTCGACGATCTATTACCAATTTTCGCGATGACTTATCACTTTCACACCGCGAACCCTCAGGATTTATGGGGGAACCTGATACTTTCCGCTATCAAAATTAAAAAATACAGTGCCTGAATCGTAGAACCCTTCTTCCTATTCCCTCAAAGTTTCACGTCGCAACATCGTTAATCCATCGACCATTCAACGGGGGTGGATGAACGAGACGCGGTATGAGGGTTTTTCACGCAGATTGCCACCAACCCACGCCTAATTTCGAGACTCACCGTTGTTTATTGTCGAATCCTTTTAGCCGGGGGTTCGCCCGTAAGAAGTTCCACCGGGAAAAAGAAGCCGGCGAAGGAAAGAGAAAAAAAGGGACGGAAAGATTTCGTCATTAACGCGACCGAAACCACCCCCCTAACGACGCGCCTCGTATTTCGTTCACTTAGAATCCGCCGGGATCGTTACCGTTTTAATGCGTGGACGCCCCCCTTAAATCAGTGGCACTCGGTACACGAGTTGGCTCTTTTTCCGCCGTACCACCGACCGAATTCATATCTTCATTTCGTGTCATTAACGAAACTCCCACTGCTTTTTAAACTGCGCGCGTAAAAACAGGAAACTCCATTAAGCTATATACGTTCCCTTAAAAGTACTTTATTAACCATTAAAAAAAATAGAAATGGTATATACCTTTGCATCCTGACCGGACAAGAACATTCTTCTTTACCTATAACCTGTAAACCTTGTTCTGACTGTTAAAATAATTAAAAAACTACGGGTCGAATTAAAGTGATTAATTAATTCACATTCATCATACACATAATTTGAGTTTACATAAAAAAAAACAGAAATTCGCAGAATAATTGAGGAAAACAAAGAAATTATTTTTAAATGAATCGAAGACGTGTACATTGATTCTTCAACCTTTAAATCGGTCCCTCTTAAAAAGGAAATTGCGAGGGGAAGAGGTAATCGCTCCGACATTATCGAGTTCTCTAGCTTAAAACACTCCATCTCCCGAAAATCTAACCACGACACGTATCGGTTTTTTGCAGAAGACCGACGGTGGCCCGATGGTCCAGGAACAGGACGTGGCGACCGTGAACGCCAAGGAGGCGCTCCTTATCGCAGGTAAGTGTATCTAATTACCCTTGCCGTTTACGTCAACGATTTGCCGTGATTTACGGCGAAATTGTACCGACGACCTTCGGTCAGCCAGCCACGGTTCCGGGACGGGAGGAGGCAGGGATAGAGGGGCACGGGAACGAATCAGCTAAGCGGTCCGCGGCTAAAAAACACTAAAGGATTCGGTCATTTATCACGGCGCTGCTGGGCCCCCAGGGCACCACGGGAATGAGAAGGGGAGGAATATAATCCGTTGGACAGACTAATCGCGGACTAACTATCCACATATTATCTACAATAATTCCATAGTACCCACGGTGGCGGTGGTGGTTGGGGGTCCTATCTTAGCGGACGCCGAATATCGAAATGAGATTTTTTGTCAGTCGCCACGAGTCTCTCATGCACCAGATTCGAGGCACTAGAAACAAATAACTTGATAACTTCCTAACCGGCGACACAAATTTTCTTAGTAAATCCTATTGTTTAACCCTTTAATTGCCAGTGCTGCACTGGTGCATTTAAAAATGCGTCAAAGCTAGTTAACCGGTTAATATTTAACTTTTGTCAGCAAGGATCCGTAGTTTCAACGACGCGAAGTAAATCTCCACGTTTCATCCAATTGAGAAATTCATGTGTACCCTCCAAAAATAAAGAAAAGAATGAGAAAAAAAAACGGGTCTGTTCAATATCGATATTTTCGACTTCAAAATAATAGGATACAAGATATATATCAGTCTCATAATTTTAAAATAATTATTTAAAGGTCCTGATGTTAAAGAGTTAAACCTCCCGTTAGATAGACGGAACGATGTGAATGCAGGGAAACAAGGAATTTTACCTTGTTTTCTCTAAAGAACAATTCGAAATATCCGATCCATCGGTTCAGCGCGGGATCAATTTACAGAGCATACGTTACATTTCGGTCAGCGAAACGCCGCAACCGGCTCGCGTTGAGCTATTTTTGCAGGTCTGCAGTCTGCGTTACCTGCCCGCGTAAATATACCGGGCCGGTCTGCAGCAATTTTGAGTCATGTCGCGCGTAAATAAAGTGAACCCGAGCGTGGAAATTAATTAGTGTACCGACGGGCAAAGTATAGGGGAAAACTCGCCGGCATCGCCGATTTAATTGACAAACAAATTTCATTAGCCCGTTCGATGCTACGTGTAACTCGCCGCACCCCGCCCACCCCCGTATAATCGGCGATACTTTATTGCGAACGGGAGCGTGATCGCTTTATTGCCAAGTCGTTAAATTTATATGACACCGATCGGACCAGTTCATTAGCGTTCGTACGATTCGGTGTTTCCTAGGTCCAGCCAGTTTCGAGTAATTTTTGTTTATTCATGTACAGCTACTTTTCCAACGTTGATCGTTAAGAACTTGACGGTCGCGAATATTTTAATCTTATCTCGATACACTCGAACAAAAGTGATCGAACTATGAATTCGTAATAAAATTATTGATCCTTGAATTTTAATTGGAGGATACACCAGTTGGTATTCCTGGAAAGGAGGAAGAAACTGGTTGGCAACAATCGTTTCCCAAAATGATGGAAATTCGCTTGCAACCGTAGTATTCTACTGGTTAAAGAGGATGACAATCGGAGACATATGGAGGATCGTTGCAGAACTACGCGTTAGGGTACATATGTAACGCCTTCAAATTACAGTGTGGCCAACCTCCATCCATCACAACCGGGGGCCCCATGGGACTTACGGTCTCTGCGCACCGCCCCAACGTTTAAGTCGTTAGCAATTTCCTGCACGGAACTATTTTCGGGCCCAAATTCCATATGGCCCGATAATATCCGATAATACGTCCGAGCGGGAGATTGGAGAAAGGATCTCTGTCTCGTTTCCTCGATAGTCCCCGTCGATCGGATTATCCGGCTGGATCCTCCCTCTCTCCTTCGTAGAAATTTCGCGTACGGCCCAGACTGTATCGTTTACATTGCCCCGATTCGCTGTTTCCCTCGGTCTGGGGACGCCTTCGATAACAGTAATTTCAGAAAAAGCCCACCCTTTGTTTAAGTAATTCTGCCCCGGAGATTGCGTGGAAGGTTTCTCTTCGCGGACGCGTATCGGTTCTAATTTTCAATTACTTGCGCCTCCGGATAAAATAGAAGCCTCCCCTCGGTGAATGCAAAATATAAGTTCCTGGCATATACTGAACGGTATTAAAGTGGGAACTACTGGACATTTTGGACAAGTGAAATTTTTAAATACAAAAGGGAACTTGAATGTGGAACGTTCGCTTTGAGTAGTATCAGTGTAGTCGCGTACGACTACTGACACACTAATATAGAATTTGGAACTCAAATTTTCTATTTAGCCCTAGTTATTGGAATAAATATTATACTTCCTTCATTGTTTTCAAACTCTTGCCAAGATTTGAAATCATTAAAATCAATCTCGTTTATTATACGTCAACTTACCGACGTAGTAGAAGAAGCAGTGAAAGAAGAAGGGAATAACTCCACCAGGTGGCAGTAGTTCACAGAACAACGCGGCAGAAACTACTCGTTCGATAACACTTTTAAAATATCATTTAACTCGACACAATGTTAATTACAAAATGATATACACCGAAAGACAATGTAGCGATTCTGTTCTAGGACAGAAAATTGATATCGAAACGAAGACAACATTCACGCAAACATCTGCCACAGACATCGAGCCAAGAAACATACAAATCACCGAGGAAGCAAGAAATGTGTATCCTACGTCTTCGAGATGTGTATATCTACAGCAAAAAAAATCCTCGACATTTTGGAGTGTCGACGACGATCCGGCGCCTCAATGGTTGATAGAGGAAGCCCTGTCGGTCATGAACAGAGGGGCTGAGGTAAGCAAAAAATATGTATATTACAATAAGTCCATACAGATTGTTATTCGTTAAATAGACAATCTTTGATTAGAAGGATCGATCACTTTTTCGATAATGGTATTAGCCAAAATCGAACACAGTTAACGCGAATTTTCCGTTCTTTCTCGGTACGCAATATCGACGTCGAATCGAATCAGCACAGCGAGCGATGGACAAAAGGGGAAATATCGTCCAGGAAGGAAACCGAGTGAGTTCGCAGCATATAAAAGCCCAGGGTCTATCGTGTTTTTAATCGAAAAAGTCTGGTGATTTTTTTTTTGGTTCGTCTGTGAAAAATTCGAGGCAAAGTATGCTAAAATGATTGTAGCAGGATTAATGAAATTTCTCCCGCGGACACCTGTACATTGTGCGGCCCACGAATATACTCGAATGATAAAATGGAATTTATAAAAGTATCCGATAAAATTCCGATACGTAAAACGTAATACGTTGCCGAGAGGGTCGTGTACTAGAATACCGACCCATCGTTGTTACAGAAATTTTTCATGTGTCAAACGTCACGGAAAAATGTTAAAATAATTTATATAAACGTAGAATCCTACCGAATATACCGTAATAATTATATTAATGAGTGCAATTATAGTAAGTCCGAGTCGATTATCTCGGAACTCGAGGCGAAACTCAGTCGTACGAAAATGGATCTCGAAGAGGCTCTAGAGATGAAGACGATGGCGAAGGAAAAATATAAAAAGTATCAATGGCAATTCCTTTTGGTGGCTATAAGACAAACGAATAGTTCAAATTAGAAATTTCTTTAGAACTTTGGAGACCGTGAAAGCAGAAGCTCGCAGGGAGAACGAGGTGCTTCAAGAACGAATCGTTCGAATCTGCACGTCCGTTCTGGAGAACTTCGGTCCTCGTGCCATCACCGGAAAAAGAGGACAAAATTACCAATTGAAATGCAGCAAACGTTTAACGTTTCACGAGAATATTTCTAATAAACTGCACAAGAAGGTAAAAAAACGTATATGTTAAGTATCACTGTACCCGCCATTTTCAGATTAGATTTCTACTTTTGTAACGATGTCATTACTATTGAATCCTCACACTCGCAAAAACAGACACAGCGATGCTTGCAACGCGAGATTGTACGATAATCAATTTTCATTTCTCATATTTCCATTGTGTCAGCTGCGTATGGCAGTCACGAGATCGAACAAATTGAAACGGGAACTGGCCACTGCGCGGAAAGCGTTGAAAGTCAAAGCGAAAAAATGCGAATCGATGCACAAATGCTTCGAGAAACTGAAGCAAGAGATGGACACCAGCGAGACCAATTTGAACAATCTCATCTCCGAGAATCTCGAGCTACGAAAGACGATAGAAGACACGCGGGATTGGGTGCAGCACAATTTGGGGAAAGAGAACCACGAGAAGAATAACGTCGCCAATTTCCGAAATATGCAGAGGAGCAGGGAACTGACGAATCTGAAAAAAAAGGCGGAGGAAGACTTCACAACTATTACCCAGCTAAGAAATAAGTAAATTTCCAGATGTGTAACGATCCATAGTGAAATGGTTTAACTCGTCAGAGATACTGATCAACAAATTGAATAATCCAGATTACTGCGATCAGAATCAGCAAACGCCAACAAAGGATTTTTATTGAACAGTTACAAGAGTCAGCTGTCCGACCTGAATAAAGAAAAATGTCAGCTTACGTCGAAGATAAGCAGCTTAGAAAACGAGATCACGAACGTGAAGACGAATAATTCGCAATTAAAAGCGAAGGTACATATTCCGAATGAAATGTATTAGATAACCATTAATGACCGATAATGTTTAACAGATTTCGGTTTTGAACAGCGAGAAGGATAAATTATTCTGTGACAATGAGAAATCAAAGGCAGACATTGCGGTAAAGGTAAAGGCATACCGTGGTCAATAATAAAAAATTAAATTAAAACGCGCAACATTCTTTCTGGATTCTTTACTAGATGGAAAAGCAATACACTAAAAAATGCGACGTCGGAGTGCAAGGGGAAATTGATCATATGAATGCTGCCTACGAAGGAATGTGTAAATCTATAATAACAAAATTGGACTGTGCAAAAAATCAGAATATGGAATACTTGAAAGGCATACAGGTACCATATAAAACCAGTCATACTACTGTCATCTTTCAAAAAAACATTTGGAAGATTACTTTTCATTTTGTGTTTATCCTTATCTCTGTAGGACTTTTTAAAGAAACTTTACCTTTCTCCAAATGACTGCCAAACGCAAAAAAACCTAAAAGTGGACGAACCCAGCGAAAAGGAGGCTCACCAAACTGCGTGCAATATTCTAAACATGACACCGGAAGAGTTGTCTGGTTTCATCAATGAAAGAAGACCTAACTCGGTAATTAAAAGCTAAATTAATTGACTATCGTATATTTTGTTCGTTTCTAACGCTATGTTAAAAAATTTGTTTGCATTTAGATTATCTCTTGGACAAACGAATTGAACCGGATATTGTCGAAAAGTAATTTCTCCGATAATCTGTCGAAGTTTCTGTTGAAAAAAGCGATATGGAAACTGAAGACACAATAGAGCATCGAGAAAAAAAAACAGTTTAACGAATATTCTTCAAAATTGTTGATTTGTATGTTTTTATTGTGATTTATTGTTTGGTATTAAAGAATTGAACGTATTAACATTGATTACTATTTGTCACCTTTCTTATGTGAACAAAAATCGAAAAACTGACTTTTGCAATGAAATTGTTTCGATCTCTGAAACACACAAGATTCTACAAAAAGGGATTCAAGGCAGACAGATTTCTTTTTTAAAGAATGTATTTGGTACAATGATAGTCAAACCTATATTAAAAATGCAGATAAGCTCCTATCAAGTAGAAAGTATAATGCGAACAATGTCGTTCGACAAATAGGTCTACGTAGGACACCACAAGTAAGTCTTATGAGTTACAAATAGCGATAAATATACGAAGAGTGACGGAGACTCCGCAGATCACAATACGCGTAATACGTTTTGCTTCGACGTGTAAAGCAAGTACAATAAAATATAATACTTCAACTGCTAACCAACATTTCGTAATACAAAAAAACAGCGTATCAAAGTGAATGGGTGATAAAAAAAATGTTTCCTCGGAATTGACTACTTCGGTCAGATCGAAGAATGAATCGACTTGGTTGGCAAGGCTAGATTCCACTTTACTTTAATTTCATATTACCCTATACCGATTAATAAACCATACGTTTACTCCATTTCTAAACTATCACCCAATACCTAACGTTATCTAAGTAGCTTATAAACAGAAGACAAACTGAACTGGGATCACACTTTCCGAAGAGAAACAATTCTACTTGAGTATTTCCCCTACTTAGACAACCTTCTAAGAGTACAGAAACATAGTATAGAACAGATATAAGGAACTAGGGAAACGGTTCCCTTATCAAAAGCAGATAAATCTATCCAAGTCGATCTTTTATTCGATCCAATCGCAAACGCTAATAAAATTCAGTCACGATTCAATTGTCGCTTTGCAGTTCGCTAGATCCAGTAGCATCCGGCGCCTTCTGCAGCTGCGCGCTCTGAAATCTCTCGTAGCCGTTGCCATCGCCGAAGATCTTCCTGCCAGGGATCCTATCGTCATCTTTAACGCTGACCTCCGTCCCGATCTGCACCGGCCAGGGAAGTTTTCCTTCGTTCCTAATCGACACCTGACTAGCCAGCTTTCTGTCATTGTTCTGATCGAACGGCTCGTTGTTCCGTATGCTCTCGAGCGTCACCTTGCGACGACCCTCCTCGTCGGGGTAAGTGTAAGGTCGATCGAAGCTCGATCTCTTGGAGTACGAGTCATAGCCATCGTACAGGTGTCTGTACCGATACCTGCTGGGATCCACGTTCCCGGGGATACGTTTGTAAGTCCCGTCCCTCGACACCGGTGTTCTCGTCGTGTCGAAGCCCCTGGGATAGTTTCTGAGATCGACAGGCTTACGGACGATTTCCGGAAGGGTCGCGTAGTAGATGATCCTCTTCGGTTTGGGCGTCGGTCTGCTTCGTCCGTAAAGGTCCAGATCCTCGTCTCTGTACCTGTCGTAGTAGTACGAGTAATCCTGAGGCAGACGCATATAGTAGTCCCTCTCCATTCTGTAACGATCTGGGTAGTAGTAGCTGTATCCGCGACGATAGCTAGGTGGATCGTACTCCCGTTCTCTCAGAGCGTTCCTGTACCACGGGAAGTCGTACTCGTCGTATCCTCTGGTCACAGGCATATCTCTGGCTTCCCTTTGATCGTAACTTCTTCTGTGATGACTGGTGACGAAGTCAGCCCGCGGTGCGTGGTAACTTCTCGCGTTCGGCATGTCCTCGTCGTCCACGGTCTGCTGGATCATCTGGTCCACACCGCTGCGATGAGGAAACTCGACGGACAACGGCTGAGAGGACCATGTCTCCGGTGAACTGAGGCGAACCTCTCGAACGTTCTTTGTGCTTGTGATCTGTTCCATTTTCGTCTCGTTGTCCGCGTCCCGACGAACCCTCGAAACACCTTCCCCCGTATTATCGATGATCTCCCCTGTGTCGTCTGCTGTTCGCAACAGGGTCATCATGAGCCCCGTTTTGAAGATTCTGTCGTTGCTCTCCGCGTCGTTCGTTCCGTCACGAGTCCCGTATCGATCGTGGGACGTTTCCGTGATTCGTTCGAATCGATCGTCCGGTTGGTCGGCGGGTAACAAAGATTTTAGACCCGTTCGAGCGTTTTCCGGTGAATCCAGACGACCAACACCGCTCACGCTACGAACTTCGAACGCGGAAGAGTCTAACCGTGGCCACGATGGGTGGTTCCAGTAATCGGTCCCGTACGGGAGGACCTGCCATGCCTTACCGATCCCCGTTGCATCGATCCCCGTCGAGAAGAACAGTAACGGGTATATTTGCAGGAGGAGTAGCCGCATTGTTTGTCTAAAAGGAGTATGAACAGTGATTGTATGGAGAAAAAGGTGTGCTTTTTCTCTGCCCGATACGAAAGAAATCGAAAACGCTATTACAAATGCACCATTACGAGATGCACCAGAAGAAAGATTCAAAAGATTAAACGTTATGTTCAGGAGAAAAGTGAGAAGTGTCGATGTAAAAGGTGCGATTAATAGGAAGAATATCTTGCAGACAGGAAAATATTAGCGAAGGTTATCAACAAGGATTCAGCGACCAGGGGAAGATATATTATCGTATTCGCGAACCCAAAGAATTCCGTGAAATAATATGCGTAAATGAGGATCAACAGCTGAAATTAACCATAAATGCCGGTCGAAGCTTTCACCGAAATGGTAGGAGAACTATGAAAACCCGGCGACAGACGTTTAATGACCGTTCCGTCCGGTAACCACGCGGTCAGATGAGATCGTCCTCGGTTGTAGAGCTGCCTGTGTCCGATTCCCCATAACAAATATAATTTCCCAGCCGTTTCCGCGGTATTATACCGAGTTCCGGGCAACACGTAGATCCGGTTGCGCGATTGTTCACTCGACTACATTTACGGTGGCATCCTCCACACGAAATCGAACTAGAATCCAACTTGTTGATACGCGGCAACCGTGCAACGTAAGTTCAATGCACCAGCGGACTGTCGATTGCAAATTCCGATTGCGAAATTTTGAATGACAATAGAACCGTGTTGTCGAGACGATTAATTTAGTTAGGAATAGGGTGTTCCATATGACAATAACAAGTAGCGTATAAACAGTTGAATAGAAATTATTGTATGTTATACTCAGAGTATTTTCCTAAGAAGGAGTGCTCCATAATAATGAAGCTTGGTATCGTACAGATGATTACTAGTTTAGGAAATGTTTAATATTAAAGTTCCGTAATCATGCATATATACATACATAATCATGCAAATATTCATGCATATATGAAGTCTAGTTGAAGTCAATGTTATTTAAGAAATTAAGAAAATAATAGAAAACTGGAACAATTTGTTAAACTGCCTGATCATGATATGCTTATAATATACGTCTGTTTGCGAAGCCGGTTTATCTTTTTATCTGATTGTAAGTTTAGGGGAAAATAAAATCACAGTATCGTCGTTTAACCGCGGCTTCGTTTAAAGGCTGATAGACTGTGACTAATCAGAAGTGCATAGCGCTTGGTGTTATTGCTTTTATATCTCTGGAGTGACTGGGAGAACGACATGCTACATTGTAGGCAAGAGAAAAAAATCAAGGAAGCAGAGGACGAGGACGTCTTAGCGGAACAAATCTGCAGCAGGATCTCCTCCGTTAGCAGCAGAATCGCACGGTTATGGTCCCCGTTTTACAGTTACGTCATGAACCCGTTTTATTTTGCAATTAGTTTTCGGTAGTCCCGTAATTGCTGGTATGGGAATGAGATTTCGGCGAGGGAGCCGTATAATAGACGAGAAAGGATCTGAAGTACCGTAAGAACGACGGAATCGGCGGCTCAGATCAATGAGTCATCTTTGGATCGAAACACAGTACACACAGTGTGATTTATTTTTAAAACAATGATTCTCAAAACTGGAAAAAGCTTAAAAAAGAAGACTAAAAGGAAAAAAAAAGCGTGGGAATTTCTTGAAGTTGAATGAAGAAATTGGATTTCAGAGTTAATGCAAGCAATTTTCAAGAAAAAGTCGATTGTCAAAACTAACTAAAGAAGAATATATTACAGATTTGCAGAGCTTGGAAATAAAAATAACAGAACAAGTATTTAGTTCAATTCATAAAAGAAAGTAACGTAGAAGTTAGTGATCCGTGGATTAATTATTGAAAACAATGGAAATAATGTATGCATTTAAGTTCCAAAGTTAGATATAAAGGAAAAGAAAGGAGTTTTGACAGAGTTATGAGAAAGACTTTACCTGAATTCCAAACTGTCTGCGGCTTCCGAATGTCGTTGACTGTTCGGAGCTACTACGATTACTACGCTCCACGAACTACGGCTTCCCGGTTTACCCCGGCTTCGTATCAATATACCGTGCTGTTGTCGCCTGTAAAACACGCTCACCCCTCTACCTAGAACCCGTAACTACCGTTTGCAATTGGTCGTCGTTTTTAACTGTAGTTCTGGTACCGAAAGATAAGTAAATGGTGTCTTCCTTAACACGTCCATAGGATCAAAGAAAATCGTTTAACGAAGTGCAACGGTAAGAGTACTACAGTAATAAGTTTACAGGTTTTTATAATTCTGCAGCAAATCAGTTCGAATAATAAAGATCGAATAATAAATGTAATTTACACGATCGATAATTGTTTAGGAAATATGTTATTTGCATACATAGTATCGAATTAACGTAATTAACCGAAACAATACCTATATTATGTTTGCAGTGTATAGAAAACAAATCCATTGTCTGTACGAATGGCTGTATGGGTAACGAGTTCATGATTTGGACATACAGTATGCACAAGTTTTCAAATAATTAAACCAATACAAAAATTGCTTTCACCTTGAGTTATTATATTGTAATTCACAGAGGATAAAAAACAGAATAGAGGCTGCAGACAAAATAGATCTGGATGACTTGCGAACAACAGAGTACATAATACTGATGTCACGCTCTGCAGTGCAGAAATTATGATAGAATCAAACGAATGTATTAGAAAGATTGATAATAAAAAAAAAATTTGGAGCTACTGGGAAAGTCTTTATGGAACTGTTCCTAAGTGGAAATGGTTGTTAATAATTGAATATTTTTCCATAACATTCTCCATACTGAAAGACACGTTCATAATCAGAACTGAATAAGAGGAGAAATTGAAATAGAAGTGCCGAGAAAGAAAATTCTCATTCTTTAGCAGACTAGTGAATTCGAGAGACCTCCAGAATCTCTAGCATCTCCATGGTGTCTTCAGGATTTTTAATTTTCCAGTAGGGCCTTAAAAAAAACTCCCTCCCAGTTCCGGAGACTCTTTCAAGGATCCTCAGGTTCCCTGAAAAATCTTTAGGGTCCTGTGAGTGCCTTTAAGAATTTATAGGACCCCTTTAAGGTTCTAAAATTCCCCCAAAAGTCTTTCGATGGTTATAGAGTCTTACAGGACACCTCTGGATTTAAAAGTGCCTTTATAAGAGTTTTCAAGATTCCTTCAAGGCTCAGGGATTCTCTCAAACGCTTTCTAAGGCTGTTGAAAATATGCCTTAAGAATTGTAGCCTATCATATTTCGGTTCCAATAGAAATACTCGATTCATTCCCTGCTCGTATAAATGTGCCTGAATACATAATGGTTTTCATTCATGTCAAAGGAGTGTGGTCTTTTCACGTGTAGTGGTTCTTCACGTCATGTTTTCATAAACGTATAAACATCGACTAAAATAGATATAGAATATAGGCACAGATAATAATTATACAATGTTCAATGTAATTTCTAATTTACTTTAAATTGCTTACTGAAACTAAGTGTGAAATTAATGTAACTATCTGAAACGAACATTTATTTATTCATTAAATGTACTGACTTGTGAATCCCTGTTATTGTATATATCTCAGTAATGGCTGAGGAAGGGAAAAAGATTTCTTTCGCCTTCGCGAAGTCTATTAAAAAACCTGTTTTAAAGAATACTCTGCCCCAAGAGACGAAGAAAGTAGATTATATAGAATGTCTTGATGAAAAGGGTATTAAAGTAATAGGGTAAGTTAAATATCAACGATGTCACATCAACATAACCTATAAAGGTAACCAAACAGTAGTTGAAAGAATAAGGACGTACATAATAATTTTTTTCTTCCAGCAAGGAAGAGAAGAAGGATGAACCTTTGGTTATTCCACTGCTAGGATCAAAAACCTGGCACGATAGGATTGTAAATAAAATTGATGCTGACATTTTTGAGCCTAAGGCAATAAAGGAAGAAGTAACAGAAATCAAACAAGAAGTAAACGCAGAACTAACTAATGGCAATGCGTTAGCAAAAGATAATTCTAGAAAGAAACTAGAAGCAACAAACGATAATGAAAAGAAAGTTGTTACTTTAGAAGAACAAGCTGCTAAGGAAATTATACAAGACCTTAAATCTACTGAGGAACAACAAAGTGAAACAAAGACACTGACTTTGCCGCTCCTAGAAGAGCAGGCTTTACGAGGTCAAGAACAGGTATAGTATCATTGTCTCTACAAACTTTATCATTATGTTTGTATCATTTATCCATTAATGCGATATAAGTTGTACTATAACAGATATTAATGTTTTTAGTCTACATTAGAGGATTATGAAAAAATTCCTGTGGATGCTTTTGGCTTAGCAATGTTGAGAGGAATGGGATGGCAGCCTGGCAAAGGAATTGGTAAAAATGAAAAGTATGAATCTTATTTTAAATGAAGTGACATTGTATGATTGATACATACTATGTTTGAAATTATGTAAAGAACACTTCTCAACTTGATAATTTTTTAATATTGTTACAGAGTTGTCTCAGCTGCTATACCAGAACTACGTCCAAAAGGCATGGGTCTTGGAGCAGATAAAGTAGCACTGCAAAAGCCGAATACAAATACTAAAAAAGAAGATGCAGAACTTAAGCTAGAGAAGGGGACATTCGTAAAAATTATTGCTGGAAAGCAGTGTAATAACTATGGTCAAATAGAAGGATTCGATGATGATGCAGGAAGACTTATAATAAAACTCGCTCTTGGAGGAAATATTATATCTGTGAATGAGTTCGTAGTGCAACCAGTTACTAAGGCAGAGTACTCAAAGAACGCAAAAGTTCTAAGTTAGTATGAATGTATGGCTCTAATTAAGGGACTTCTAAAACTTACAATAAAAGTCCATTTAAATTTACACAGGAACACTTGTAAACAACTAGAAAGTACAATACCACAGTTTGTGCATTCTCAAACATTGGTTTTAAAAGTCCCTACACATGTATTAAGAATTGTAATAAATATAGAGATTTTAGCCTTTAATATTTTATGGGGTTGATTTTAGATGCAACAAAGTATGAAGAATATAAAAACAAAGAATCTAATGAAGAGAGTAATAAAACAGTAAAGAAGAAAAGATCGAGCTCTTCTGAATGTTTCGAAAGTAGCGACAATGAAGATAGAAATATTATTGATGAAAAGAGGAAAAAAGGTACCAAACATGATAAAAACAAAGATATCAGAACAGACGATACAAAATCTAAAAGTCGAAAAAGATATTCAGACAGCAATAGCGATAGAGATAGTGATTTCGGAAAAAGGCGAAGGAAAGAGAGGAGCAAATCTAGTAGCAGTGATTCCTATAAATCAAAGAAATCTAAGAAATCAAAGAAACACAAGCGGCGGGACAGTTCATCCGAAAGGTCTAGCAAAAAGCATAAGAAAAAAGATAAGGAAAGAGAAAGAGCAAGAGACCGAAAATCGAGAGATTATACGGACAAACGGAAACACAAAAAAAGGGGTAGATCAAGATCACGATAATCTATTAGACGATAAAACTTTACGGGAACGTATTCCATTATTTTACTTTCGTAACGAATTGTACAATTTTGTTTATATACATTTTGTAATAAAACTTATTTTTACAAAATCGATTCCACTTTCTTATCCACAATTGAAAAGTAATAAAATAGAACATATGAAATAATGGTAAAAAAAGGAGTTTACTATTCTATATATGATAGTATATAAATATGAATTTGAGAAATTTCATTTAGATATAAAGATACTTATATTCAGTTTTTCTTACACAGAGTTCTGAAATATCGTAGATAAAAATTTATTTGAATATATCACCGCATGCTTATGTAACGGTTGATAAAGTAGATAGTAAACGTACCTAACCTCGAAAAATATCATGTTAAGCGCAAACATCGTCAAACAAGGATTGCGAACAATGTCCAGTATGTACGCTTAATTCTTTTAAAAACGTTACAATAAATACATAAAAAGTCATATTATAAATCACATTTACTCGTGCCAACATTTTTTCAGCGTTTCGTATGGCGCTAGTGCAACTCGCCGTTGGCGAAAATAAATCAACGAATGTAGCGCGAGCAGTTTCGTTCATCGAACGCGCAAAACAACAACAAGCTAACATTGTTGTACTTCCTGAATGCTTCAATTCACCGTACGGAACATGTAATACATCTTCATGACCACACTTTATACTACTTCTACTTTAAAAAAAAAGGATTTCTTATCTAAATTACTCACCCCGTCCGTTGAACTCTCGCGCGCGCCAAGTTGGGGATGGTACAATGAACGGAGACGATGAGCGACGATGTTCTTCTTTTCATTATTTTTCCAATCGTACAATTACTTTTCACTAAATTAACAACTTCGTCATAGCTAGAGCAACATTTTCAATACTGCTAACACGCGTAAACAATATTTTTACCACTATTTAAAGCACTTTCTTGCAGAGCAACCGTCAACGAAGAACATCTCCGTTCGTCTTTCGAAAACTACTGACGAAGTCAATTGAATAGTGAATTTCTCTTCAGAATATTAACTATAAGATAATAATTCTTCATGTACAAAGAATTTTCTTCCAAGATTATTACTAAAAAAATATAGTTTTTTTCTAAAGAATTATAACTATATTAGGGTAAAATATTTTAAATTTAATCTTTGTTTATGACAACTGACATGACTATGGGTAATTCAATTTGAATTTGAATCTCGATCTCAATAAGTATTACAGAAGTTTTCATAAAAAATAAAGAAAACTGAATTCTTTAAAGCTTTTATATGTATAAAAAGCACTTGAAGAATCTAAATATGTTGCTTTTTGTAGAAGACGAACATGTGCCTAACTTTGATTTAAAAATATCTATTTTCTAAAAAGGGAATAAACTCACACATATCACATAACAAATTCATAGACAAACAGGTAACTCTTGATTTTCATATTTTTCAACGCAGCATATTTTGCAAAGTATGCGGAGAGCATTCCGGGCGGTGAAACGAGTGTGGCACTATCGGAAGCGGCCAAAAAGAATAACGTTTACGTGATCGGTGGTACGATACCCGAAAAGGAAGCCGATAAATTGTACAATACGTGCACCGTTTGGGCGCCCGATGGAACTCTCATTGCAAAGCACAGGAAGGTAAGCAATTCTTGCTTTTGAAAACATAGCTGCATTATTGCATGGGGAATTTATATTCTGCAAGTGAATTCAATATACCTTCACGTTTTTTTCTGTCATCAGATGCATTTATTCGACATTGATATTAAGGGAAAAATGACTTTTCGCGAGAGTGATTCGTTAAGTCCTGGGACCTCGTTGACCATGTTTGAGGCGATGGACTGTAAAATAGGCGTTGGCATTTGCTACGATATCAGATTCGAAGAAATGGCACGCTTATATCGAAACAAAGGTAGGCATATGTAGAAAATTAAATACGTAACTGTAAGATTAATTGGATACAGAAAGGTATATAGCAGGACATGATATTTAATTTTCTAAGCAGTCAGTCTCTAAGGATTTTTAATATCGCGAAATATGTTTATTATCGATAAAATACTCCTAGAACGGATATAAGGGAAAAAAGGAAAAGATATTGAAGTAGTTTCACGTCGAGTCGAGCTTAAAATAAAGTACAGGGTATATGATGGAGATGAGATTGCTTCAATATTGAAGCCGTAGGAAGGGGTGGAAGTAAATTGAGGAACCCAAGAAATTACTGAGTAACCGGAACATTCGGTGTCTTCATACTTCCCGTTTCTCTTCGCCAGGTTGCCAAATGCTGATATATCCAGCGGCATTCAATATGACCACCGGACCACTGCACTGGTCGTTGCTACAGCGTTCCAGAGCAAACGACAATCAATTATACGTCGCTTGCGTATCACCGGCTCGTGGTTCTCCACCTGGTTACGTTGCATGGGGACATACCCAGTTAACCAATCCCTGGGGAGAAATTCTTCATGAACTAGATGCCACCGAAGACATGGTGGTCGCTGACATAGGTAATTGCCACTTTATACCGATACCAGAAACCCGTCGTCTAATTTGTCGACATTGAAAAATTAGAGAATATGTCATAGTCATTGCTTCTAACTTGTGGTTCGTGTGCTTTCAGATCTGAAAATCGTAGACGAGGTAAGATCTCAGATACCAACGTTCTCTCAGAGACGTACTGATTTATACGATACTATTTGGAAGAAGGATTAAAGGTGCTATATGTGTTTTTAAGATTTTTTACAATTTGTATAACATTGAATAAATCATGATGCAATTATTACTTAAGACTAGAATTATAAAAGTGAACATAATGGATATTATTAAGGATGGAATAATACATACTAATACATACCATTTTAAATATCTTTAATATCGATCGAATGAATTATTATAATCTGTAATCGTTACAGAATGATTACTCATACATAAAAGGCCCCTCGATGATAAAACGATGTAATCACAATCAAAGGTAGTTACGCATCGTAGCAATATTAAATCTATCGTCTAAATTATTTACATTCAAATAGATGAATAATTTTCTTTTACATGTAAACGTTAGATCGAAGTATAAGCTTAGAGAAATTGGTCAATTAATGTCGATTAATATACACTGTTCTCGACGAAAGGTCAAAGAGCAAAAATTCGACGGCGCTGAAGAACCGGAAAACGCCTCGACTCGGCTGTTCGCCAGCTGGATAGAGTTTATGTTTTTTCCACCGTGTAAGGTAAAACAAACACAAAATCGTCCCCTTAGCTCCACGCTTCGACCGAATTGGGTCAGAAATGATCTGAACGCCGAGTCGGCGCCAAACTTGGGAGAAATTACATTTCTTCGAGGCTTTTGTCTACCGTTTCCGTGACGTCCGTTACGTATCTTTGCCAGAAATATACGTAACGAGTGCCATAGGCGATCGATTCGAGTAACAACTTCGTCGAACGGGACATACATGCCCTGAAAGTCAAACGGTTCGCAATTTAATGCTTCCTTGTATCGACGGAACAGTTTTAATCTGGATTTACAGAGAATCGCCTGACTTTCGGGATTTCTTATTGATTACGGTAATCTTAGTTTGGAAAAGAGCTTAAATACCGACTATTACAGATCCACGCGACCTTTAAATTGTACTTTTTAAATAAAAAATTAAATACACATCGGACGACTTCGCGCTCGCGCGAATCTCTCCTTCATTTCTTTACGAAGCCAGCGTACCCTATTCCGTTATCGTTGGTTTTACTTTAAATCTGCAATGCGTCTATTTACAATTTAAATTTACCACGAGCATCCGTTGAATCGTCAGCCCTTTATAAATGCGTAATCAATGCGGGTACATCGTCGTCGACTGTGACGTTCACGCTGGAATAAGCATTACGTATATTAATCGTTTCAGCAAGTCATCAGGATATTTTGGGGAAAATTAATAATTATCGGAACTTTATTCGTAACCAAGATCGCCAAGGTGTAATAACCTTTACAATTGATTTCACACTTTTGTAGTTCTGTTTAACAAAACTACGTGTCATCACAAAGAAAAATCTATTCCTTCTTCGTTCAACGAATGCTCCATGTCTATAAATGTTAAGCGAAAAAATAAAAATTGTCTATTGTCGCGACATAATACACGTTAGACTTTAAGCTCGAACTGGATTCGGACACGCCTTCGTCGCGAATGATCACTTAATACCCTGTACAACGAGCAAATAATTCCTGATTAATTCGATGTCGAGTAACCTTGCATTAATCAATTGATAGCTTTCTTACTGAATCACCTGCTCGACACGAACGTGTTCCCGTATAGAAAAGAACCGAGCGACTGAGAAAGCTTGAACATAGAATCCGCAAGTCGTTGAGCAACAAATTGCCAGTTTGTGTCGCGTAAATTAGCACAAGCGCTCGTCGTTCGAGAGGACTTCGAAACTTCGACTTAATAACGCCGCTAATTAAAAAGTTTCGACAATGTTCGTCGTATTAAAAGGTCGCCGGTAAAGTTGCATTGTTAAAGTCTGATCGTTTCCGGAGGAAACTCAAGTATACATTAAATTTCCATCGATGAAAATGAACGTGTAAGAAAGTTGCATGTAAAATCGTCATAAATATTAGAAAGGTAATCGAAGCTTACCGGTAAAGAGTAAATTTCTTCCGCGAATCTCTACGAATAACCGTGAAAATGAAATGTTATTAAAGATATCGAGAGAACAAGCGTTGAGAACGATTCGTTAGAAAGTCTATTTCTTTCGTAGTTATATGAATCATTTAAATGTCACGTACATATTCACGAAAATTCACAGCAGTCTTTCTTTAGATCTCATCGGTGGTAACTGGTGTTTTCAATTAAAATTCGTTTAATCTCCTATATTTCTGCGTTTACCACAGAACGTCCCATTTATCGAGTAATTTAGAATTACATGTTTCCAAGGATGTATAAACGTTCCAGGAAACGATTACGTGGAAATGCCTCTCCGGGCGGTCGACTGCCGACCTTGCCACCTACTTTTATTCGAAGCGCGAACGAATTAGAATCGCTGTGAACCGAGCGGAAGGGTGCTCGACGAATGTAGGTGTGAAAAGTCTTTGCGAAGCAGAAAAACGGAAAAAAGACCGCGACCAGCAAAAATCGGCTGAAATTATACACGCGCACAATTTATTCATTACCGTTTGCAGAATGCAGAATGATTCTCCATACGTCAATTACACCTCTACACCTAAACAGCATACTTATACATAAATACACAATAAGATCAAGCTTAGCAAAACGATATTATCCTGGATTAGTATTAACGAATTTACTCTGTCTTATTTTTGTTTACTTGCAATTAGATTTTACCCTTCATAATGTGCATTATGAGCTTGTGAAAATTGTGCAGCTTTTCTCGGGGGGGAAAGGATTAATCATCTCAACACCTGGGTATCGTGTAGAATTCGACCAATTCCTAGAATAAAAACGCAGTTACACCCCCGTTTAACGATCCACAACGGTTCCCCATTTCGTTGCAATAATCCGAATCTGACGTTATTGTATGTCTCGAAAATGGATTGCTTAAGAGTTATACGTCCCCAGAATGTTCATCTCGCGACAAAAGAAAATTCGTGCTCGATTAATATACGTTCGAAGCACGCTTTTCGCGAAAGACATGGGAATTTAGTGAATTTCGACCTGGTTTCGATATACATACAGTGCTGGTCAAGGAAATTCGTTGTTCGTGTTGGCGGTAACATTCTTTTCTTAACCGCTGAAAACTCAACGAAACGAATCTCGAGTTAAATGTGCTCCGTCTCGAATAAAACCGAAAAGCAACGCGCAGCTTTTTCCCTCGGTTTCACAACAATTTGACGTTTTAATTCCGCCGGCGGAAATCCCGAGTTTACCGCCTATTCTGGACCCTTTCAGCGCAATTAAGCCACACGTGAGCACGCTGAAAAAAAAAATAATATACAAGTAACACGGAAGTATTACTGTGAACTGCGTGTGCAACGTATCTCTCTGAAAAACAATGCCTAGTGACAGAATAACAACGCTCCATTTATGGTAGCCGCACGATAATTATGCTATTATATATTAAATATTAGAACTTCAATATGTTAAAGAATAATAACACCATTATTAAATCAGAATTGGAAATAATATCATCGTCAATGATCGAACAGCGGTGAGAACGTTCGAAAAGGTTGAACGAAACAAAGGCACGGAGAGTATATTTGAAAGAGTGGTTTGGAGAAAACAAACGAAACCGTACAGACATATTATCACAGTCATTAGCGTGGACCGAGGAGATTAGTATGAAGTAGATTAGAAAGGTAAATAGAAGATCCTGAGGCAAGCACTTTCCACGCGAGTCAGTGCAAATGCTAAAATCCGTCTTCCATTTCAGAATGCATCAGCAGATCTCGATAATCCCGATTCCGAAATCCATTGTATCGATGACGTAACGCAAACAGTTGCAAAGAATCTGATACCGTTAAAGATAAACGAGCTTTGTTAGCGAACAGATATATGTTATGCGTGTACCATCGTCCACGTCATGATTGGCTATGATTGCGCTAACGACCATTACCGTGAATGAAGCCTAATAGTTCCTGAAAAGAAGCACGTGCAGATTATAGCAAGTAAAAGCACAGTTCCAGCTTCATATTTACGTGATATCACATCACCTCGCGCCGCCAAGCAATCGTCTTCCGCGATTGTTACTTGGATAATAACACAACATCGGGAACGCGACAAAGAAAGATTCGTCAACCGCAATTTTCAACGTATATTAGGTAATCATACAAGAATATTGTTAAAATTGAGTCCGCTGCAACCCTCTCTGTTCTTAAAACTCTATTTATTATATCCGAATAAAGTATCACTAGGTTTAATTGAGCACGTGCCTATATACTCAATGGAATAATTTCACTCGATGCCCGACCGACTATAGATTAAATGCCTTGGGTACATAAATAATGGAGCGTGAATGGTAAACATCTAACCGTTCCCTCGATTCTTCGTAACTAAATATGTGTCTCTTTGTCCCGGGGAGGATTAGTCCTCGGGCGTCACAAATATGTACATGCATCATATGAATTATAAGTTATATGTAATATACACCTTTGTACATTTAGAAAATACGTGTTACTCGTTTACGGTGGTTCTGACGGAGTGAAGTTCCAATCAGCACTCCATACACTTGTGCCTGTATTTTACAGGCCGAGAGTTCCGATTAAAACGAGCGTATAGGGGTCTTCCACGAGAGCGTGGAAGAATCCTGCACCATTGTCGATTACATTACAAGGGGAGGGTTTGTGGGGAGATAAAGTCAGCTATTGCTTCTGAACGCGTTCACCGCCACGTTACCTTACCACATAATTCCTCCTAACAACAAAATATTCTATTATTCACAGATCTATTTCGTGGTTTACACTTCTTTCCTTTAAAAATAATGATATTTATTCAACAACAAACATTGAGAATACGACGGAGTAAACTTTCTTCAATCACCAACATGGCGGGGAACGTGTTCAATCGGTTATATAAAATACAACGACCAAACTGGTGCAAACTAAATTCATTAAAGAGATTATAATCGTTTAATTAACTGTTCACAGTCTCGTAAGTTTAGCGTGTTTCAACGGAAATGTCAAAATCCAGACGTTTTCCCCCTAACCCTCGAAATACTGAGCGTTCACACCTCGATCTTGAGATCTGTTTTCCCGATTCCGTCGAAATTCTCTTCAAAGCGTTCGTATTATCTATATTATCGTTTTCATTGGGTCCTAAAAGTTTATTGTTATCGTTTGAAAATATTCTCGTGTCCCCTGCATTTCAACTCCACTTTTTCCTTCCCCGCGGCGTTTTCTCCACCCAGAAATGATATGTTCGGCCATCGGAAACGTGTAGGCCGTCGAACGAACGGATATATTGGTCGGTATTAATTAATCGATCCCTGGTTCCGTGTCTCGAGCAAGACTTTCCCTCGCGAATAATGCAAAGTTCGCGAAATCTTACGTAAATTTTCCGTTTCGGATCTCGGACGAAACGAGAGCGCGGAAAGCATTCGAAGTGTCACGCGATCTTATTAAAGGCCCCGTGTTCCCGCGACAAGTGGAGATCTCGAGGATTGAGAATCGCTGCCTCGGGGTGGAGCTCCCGTTTAATTGCGTGGATACGGATAATTTCGGGACAAGTTTTAAATGAATCCGTGGGAGCGGGAAAAGCTGGTGTGCACACTGTGTGCGCCCGCTTACGTAAATCGCAATGAAAAGGAAAACCGCCACCGAGTCGACTATGCGATTTAGAAAACAAAAAAAATAAATAAAAGGAAAACATCGTCGTGACCTGGATGTATTCCCCGTAAACGCGACACGCGAAGGTAACGGAAAGAAACGCAAAGAAAAGAAAAACCATAAATTCCAGAAACAATTTTTAATTCGTACAGAAACAGGCCTCTATCGGACATTGTTAAATCGAATGTCGTGTCCGAGTTAGAAAATTCAAATGCAAACTGACGTTCCAACCGTCGCCGTCGGCAACATCCTGCAGACACGTCGGGGATTAAAGTGTTTCATTTGCTCGGAACAGCCGAGGATTACCCCGTCACTTCGCGACCCGGTGCGTTTATCTTCGCTCTCCTTGTCACAAAAAGGAATAATTCACGACACATCGCAAAGTGAATCGGGCGTTCTATATTATTATACGTCAGATACCATTCAACGCCGCCCACAACTGTAGGTCCCGTGCACTTTGTTTATCACACAGAGGGCCACGAAATCGAACTCTATGGAATCTGGATCCAGATAATCGGAGGAAAGGAGCGATAAGTATACTTTCAAGCATCAGCCTGTTGAACGGGACTGCCCGAAAAGGGACATCGATAAGGGTAACTCGTTCGACCATGGATATCAGGGCTAATTTTTAAAAGGGACTGCTTGGTAGAGCGTCAAACTAGGTAGTCGACGAACCTTTGCCCTTTCCTTCCGACGATCTCGATCGAGATACGACCCCGCCTCGATCGAGTCTTGCGACGGAAGAATACGCGTCTTGGTATAATGATGGGGCAATATCTGATCAGATTTCGAATGTAGAAATATAACCGATTAAGAGTATTCTCGCGCCACTTTTTCTGCTGGCTGAAATTTCATTTCCCTTCCCAGGGGCGGTTGACTTGTTTTTTTTTTATCGGATATCGCTTTGTTTTATTTGTTTTTACATCATTGGTCGCTGTGTTGTTTATCCATATTCGTCGTGGTGAGTGCAAACAAAAATGGAACCGTTGCGTCAGTAGCCATTATTGAAATAACTAACTGAACGCAACGTATGCGTCGCCAGCAGTGAAAGTGTTCAGAAACTGGAAACCGGCAATCTTGAATAACCCGTTATGTTTGCCTCGATTGTAACAGAGATCATCGGATAAAATCGAAAGTAGGTATTCGAAACAGTTGATTTTTTACGACAGTAAAACTCCCATCACTAGTTCCGCAATATTCATCGTCGACGAACGATCGCCGTCTTCGTGCGCGGCACGTTCCACGACATAGTTATCACATCTTTCTTATCACGGAGGATGAAAAAATAAAACTTTCTTTTTCGTAAACGTAACTCCGTGCACGGAGCTCGCCCCCTCCGAAGGGTTAATTGCTCGCCTTCGAGGGCGACGCGCGCACGTCATCGTCCGTTAGCCATGAGACGCCTCGTTTCCGAGGATAACATCGTTATCCAGGGACGTTCATCGAAGAGGATGTGGTAACATATTCTCTCTGTAGCAACACCTCGTAATCACGAGCTGTGCATCCTCTGACATCGTGGTTCGTAAAATTTCTCGCGGCCAAAAATATCACATAAAGATAAAGTGTAGACGCAGAAACGATATCAAATAGGAGGAGCTAAACGGTCGGAAGACAGGGTAGCAAAATGCTACCGAACAGAACGATAAAAAATTAACAATTATACTCTGTTCAACCGGACGTGAATTAACAAAGTAATAATGGCTCAAGAAGCGTACAAGGGTTGACGGGGTGAGGAAAGATCAATTTACTAAAAAGCTTTCATGATATATAAAATGGTCAGAGGACAATCCCATGTGACTCGGTAACATTCCCCTCGCGGAAACCGTAATCACCCGATTGAACGTGAGACGTTTCATCGGACAACACGCTACGCCCCGTACCTTCCTCCCAGCATCCCTGGTTGCTCGATGCTCGTCGCCGTGTCGTCACGTTTCCAAAGGCCGAATCTCGTCGACGCGTCGTGTCCGTTCGACGTTGCGTCGCCGTACAACGTGGATGAAAACCGCGGGAACTAGAGCGCCTTCAGCAGGGCGATCATCCCGATCAGCCAGACCGCGCCCTGTTCCGCGATCCTCGACGATCCCGCGGCGATTATCAGATCCGGCCCGGTCCAGTCCGCGTCCGTCCCGTCCAGGCACTCGAACTCGCAGCAACGCTCGCCGACCCGAAACCTCTTGCATTTCTGTGACAGAAGGATCGATTGACCGGTCAATTGCCATTCAACGGGGCTTCAACGCCGGGAATCCAGGCCGCGTGGAATAGAATAGAACGGTTGGAAAGATGATGGAAGATACCATCGGCAAACGGGAGGGGTTGGGGGACGGATGAAACGGATCTGGATGGCGGGAACCACCGATGACGGCTGGTTAGATTTCTTTTTCATCTGGAAACCAGCCCCCGCTGACGGAATGGTAATGTCTGGGAAGGGAATTGGGTTGAATCGTTTTTAATAGGTTCCTCGGAGAATTCCGTGGCGGCTATTAAGGGCCTCCAAGATGGTAAACCTGCGGCTGCTCTTGACATTAGAGTCTGAGTTAGGTATTTAACGGATAGGTAGTTCCTTTAGTTTTGTAAATTGGGTATGGTAGACCGAGCGGTTATCTGGGAGATTTGTTTCTTAAATGGTTATACGTGTTTTTGACGGGCCGAATGGTTAAAGGAACGTTGCTTTTCCTCAAGAGAGAAGCTCGAGTAAAAAGACCATATACACACACCGACACCTAAGGGTGCATACACTTGGCTCGAAGCCTGCGCTTCGCTTTACGCTACCGCCGTATTCAGACGGATCTGCTGGTTTATCCGTGTGCAACATGAAGAAATAAAAATGAACAGAACATAGTCAAACCGTCGTTTCTGTTGTGTGCTTCCTATTTTCAACAATGCATGTCCCTGTTTCCTGCCCCCCAAAAAAAAAGACTCCTCCTCTCTTGATGCTGCAGTCCGACGCGGCGATTCGCCCGCAGTGGCCTCGTATCTTATTGCACGCTTAATCGGCGGGCAACTGCGCGAAATTATTTACGACCGAGACGTCTACGAGCACGGGTATACAAAATAAAAGTATGAATAGCCCGATGTATTGTCCCGAAATATGTACATACTTCGCTGCCAGGAAGTCTCGAGCAGATTCGAGTTATCCATCGCTCGAAGGAACGGGCACGGTGTATCAGACTTAATGGATCACGAATGAAATGTAGCTTGAAACGTTCCGCTTCGTGTAACGGTAAGACGGTGAAGAATAAGAATCATTCAAATCAACATGTTTGATTGAAGAAATGGAAGATATCCAAGAGAAGAAACTCGAATTACCGCATTATTGCAGAACATCCTTAAAATCCATCCTTTAAACACCCCGACCTTCAATTCATTCTTTAAGAGGTTCGATATGTATGTTGTATCTCGTTATTTTGTAGTCGAAAATATGGATACTAAACGGATACTAAACAGACCTATGTAGGATACTACACTGCTCCACGGAACCCTCCATTTTCAAAAGATGTTATTTGCTCCTTTGTTGGGTATGTAGTTCCCGATCCCACACCTATTGTTTTTCTTTTTTTTTTTAATATAAACTACTAACTTAAATTAATTATCAGAAGCTGTTAAGTTGAATGAGATTCTCGAAAACTCGGTGTCAAAATTACACCCCAATCGTCGTCGTTCGAGAGTCAAAGGAAAGCTAGAATCACTCGATCGATATAGGGATTCGAAGACTGTTGAAAATATAACTGGCAATTAGTAGAATGAACGGGAACGATCGACGCAAGATTTTCCTAATTGATCAACAACGCGTTCAGAAGTGCCGCAGAGCGCGCGTTCCGCGAGCAACGAGGATTTATATCGGATACGGGGCGCAATACCGCGTTCTATTTTCGGTTCGAAACTGGCACGAAGATGTAAGAATATGGTTCAGCGAAATCAACCGCGGCGTGGGTACGTATATCGTGCAGGTATCGCGAGTAGACTGCGTCGTCGGCGGGCACGCAACTGCCAGTTTAGTCGTTTTCTTGTAAACGGGTGAAAGATATTGTAACTGCGCGGCGGCGGGATTAGCATAAAAGTCGTCGCATGCGAGAACACAGGCGGGTCTGGTTGGCCTGAATATCGGGGGAACGGGAACGACTACGTGATTCGAGGCGTTTAGGCGGATGTTAACTATTCCTAGCTACCGAGATACGAACTGACGCCACGCTGATCCTGCTTCCTGCTCAACGGCGAAAATCCCCGTTGAGAAATACCACTGGCACGCTGAGAAGAATGCCTAAAGGTCTATCAGAGAAAACAGCTATATAGCGTGCACACGAGCCTCTCCGAGAACCAAACCGATCGATTCTACGTTTTATCTTAATATTTTTAATACACTGATTTTTAACATTAGAATCACAGAAATCGTCAAAATGACGGATTTTAAATTCCTTGTTTTACAATTACTGAAATGGTAAAGGTCCTCACTTGTTGACTTTTTATTTATTGTACATTTTAGATTACAGTAAATCCTGGATCAGTTGAATAGAACTTGTAATTTTTAATCTCATACGATTCCTATTTCCTGTTTTGTAGCAATCATTTAGAAATAAACGTTTAAGATAAATGCATTATCTAACGAACAAGGCTACGCTTTGTACGGAACAAACATTCCGTTTGCATATAGTATACGCCGTCACTAAGTGCCCACGTGTCTACCATATCGATCTCGCATGGTTTTCCACGCAAACACGGGAATTGCGCCGTGAAATGAAATTTTCACCCTGGGCATACTAACGTCGTCGCTCAACCACGGCGATTGTTCAGAAACGCCGAGCAGGGAAGTGGTAAAGTCTCTCGGTACACGTGTAATCCTATCAAGAACGAGATTTCATCGATTAGGCTCACGAGTTGAAAACCCGTGAGTTGTACGAGCCATTAAGTAGAATTTTCCGACGTGATCCTTCGTTTCAACGGCAAATACATTTTCCATGACCTTACTCGAGTGACTCGCCCATTTTTCACGAAACTTATTTGCGTTATCGATCATACGGTGCTTCATAAAAAAAAAAGAAGATAAATGCTGCACAGCGTGCTATAATTCGAATAACTTTCGAATGCATTAATCTGTATTTTATCAGAATTTGTTGGCCATTCTGTTGGGAATTTGCGAGTAACTTTCGAACAGGCGAACGAGCTTTCAGCCGTCAAACTACGCGACAAAAAAGCTCCGAAAATATTCCCCGCTTCTATCAAAAATAATTTCACGGGTGATGGGGCAGACGGATTCTGTCATGCTCGGTGAACAAGGTTGGAAGGATCAATTTCATGCAAATGTTGTGACGCTTCGCGTGGTCGCCGACGGAAGCACAGAAAATACAACCAGACTACCGACAGGGGAAAAATCACGTTATAGGGCTTGACGATGTCACATTAAGTGAAAATTCAATAAAGCGATTACTAACAGCATTACACCGTCCCGACGGCAATCGTGTTACCGCGATTCCGTAAATAAGTTAGATGTCTGTTTACGGAAACATCGGGTGGAAACACGGCAACCCTATCGACCACGGAAGTACCATTAATTGGCCCTAGAACGGAGAAATCCGTCGGCCGTGACGGCTGTCCACCTTTCAACCGATCGAGTTCGTGACTGTAATCGGCTAATCGTTCACAAATGTTCGAGTAAAACCTTATTTTTTCACATCACGCTACACCGTCTGATATTTCACGAAGCTTGAAGGGCAAAGATAAGAGAACTGAATGTATTTATCACTCGAAATAATTCGTTAATTCTCGTATTAAATAGAAGCTGCACCAATGCAACACTCATAAAAGTGCATCAAATTTGGTTACCGATTAATATCTAACGTTTTCAGTTGAGAAAGTCAAATATCTACTCCCTCCAGAAATGAATAAAAAAAATTGAAAAATGTAAAAAATAGGTCTGTTGAATATCTTTATTTAATTAAAGGGTTAATCATTCGTATCGAGTGTTCGTATTGTAAATTTCCTACGTGTTATTCGTGCTTATATAGGTGACTAGAAATTGTCTTCAGTGATACGAAACTGATTTTCTCGAAAACAAAATCGATTACAATAAAGCTATGGTCTGAATTTTATTCTCTTATTTTAGTCCGAGAAATCGTCCTATTATCGTGTGCACCGCCGTATCGGTTTCCTCGAACTTCCATTCGTCAAAATGACATTTAACGGTTCTCACATTTCACGGTTTCGCTAAAACGGCGACCATTTCCTGAAAAAGAAATTGACCGACCGGGTTCCTCGCATGCGGCGTTTATTAAAAACTATCTTCGATCGCGAGGTCCGTTTATCAGAGATAAAGCGTCTGGAAGGTTTCGTGCCGACCGTGGTTCCTAACCCCGATCGTAACTCGTATAATTACCGGGAATGTCGTGTTTCCGGCTGCGAAAATGGAAACGACGCGTTTCACGGTGGATGTTTGCAAATGAGCCCGCCGTTCTTCGTGCTATTCTAAAATTTCAATAATCTCGAGAACCATGTCTGCGTATTTACTGGCGTCGCGTTCCTTTCTCGATGTTGGCTCTGATTTATGAATATAAAAATGAAATTTATTATGACTAAGTTTTAACTTCCGAACACAAAAAGCTTTCAGAGGCGAAGCTTGAACACTGAACGCAGGAACACGAAGTTTAAAACTTCCAACGTTGAAAAGGTCGGGAAATCCAACAAATTTGATTTGTTAATAAATCATGATTAATCGTGCAGAAAGTTCGTAAAGTTTTTACAAGTGCTTAATTACAACGAAATAAAAGGTTTCACGAAAATCGTTCGTTAACCGATTTTAAGTCATTAGGATTATCAAATTTCGCGGTTGTTACCTGTATACTACGACACATAAATAAATATCGTCTGCTTCCCTTATAAAAATCCTGCTATTTGTCTATGTCGCTTTTCTTTTTTTTTCACCGATCAATTGAAACTAATTGGACACCCTGCACGTGTATTCTCATAGTAAACGATTGGAGTTCGATTCGACTGCGTAAAATACGGACGAGAAAATTGGAATGTAAAATCCACGCGTCAGAACGCCACTTTAGATGGAGACATTGATTGCGAGATTACGTATAGGTATTGATTTCAAAGGAAACCACTACAGTCGCGAGCCGAGGAATTTTCATAAAAAAGCCCGCTACCCCTTTACGTCAAAGCCGGTGAACGACTGTTTCATTAATTTCTAAGTACCGATAATTATTACCGTGTTTTTTTCCCCCTAACGAAGACTTTTTTCTCTCGTTTCAACGTTGCAATTTTCTGTTTGTCGCTCGTATTCGTTTAACATCCGGTTCACTTGCACCCGTGAAAGCTCTCAGTTATTGAATTATTAGCGGAAACGAACTACCCCGTTCTCCGTTCATAAATATCGCATAAGGACTCTCGCAGAAATTGCGTGTGTACCGATAGAAGTCGGTGTATTAGGCGATCAAGAGGAATTATCCGAAACGGAAAAGGTCGAATCATCGTCGCCAGCGTAATTCGAAGACGTTCTTTGCGATAATAGAATTTCCTGCGAACGATACAATTGATTCAAGGGAAGAAACTTTAACCACCGTTTCGACTCCTTGGCGGTAGAAACAAAAATATTTAACGAAAAACAGGGGGGAAAGATCTTACTCTACGAGAGTATTTTCTTCGTCCGTTACGAGAGAGGCGAACGATAAAATACTACTTCACATTGTTTCGTTGGGCAGCAACTAAACTGTTTGGACTACCGAAGCGTCAGAAGAAACAAGCCTCTGTAATAAGGGTTCTGGATAACCATCGAGAAAGAAAACTCATTATTCTTCCTGCCTGGACAATATTATTCCAACGTTCCCTCGGATTAATCCCTTACATTGGAAATACTTTGCCCGCTATCCGACATAGGCAAAAGTTCTCGCGGTAAATGCAACCTTCCCAACGAACGGTAATTAATTTCGGGAACAAACTTTAATCACAACTCGCAGTCTTTCCCCGATAAAATAGATTCGCTGGAAACGAATGACGCAAAGACAAAAAAAAAAGCATCGACCCGCAATGAATACCCCCGTTAAACGGATGACACTCATTATTTTATCCCCGACTCTTTGAACCCCCACGCTTAATAACATCGGAGAGCTACGGATAATACGCGTAATGGCCGTTAATTGCGATTCTCCAGGCAGACCTTTCTCATTAAACAACAACAAAAATTAATATTCGAAACCACGCGCATAGACATTTCATCTGTCCGCCATCTTGGAATTTCGTGAATAGATTTAAAGTCGACTGGGACGTCCTGCACAGAATCGAATTCGACCTAATAATCAAAAAGTTCGTCCAAAAGCATCGTCGAAGGGTGTCGAAGCCTCTAAAAGAGGTTCGCGCGATGATTTCGGCGAGTCGACGAATTCAAAGAAGCCTCGCTCCGTTCTGCAATCACCGGCGGAAAACACGTTGGGTCGAGTGGACCCTCTAATTCGTGGTTTAATTAAATTATCTGGCAATTTCACGGGCCGCGAGCTCAGAAACGTCAACCATTCAAAAGGCAAGATGTTCTCGCCGCCCCTTCTTCCTGCTCGACAGAGTGCCGAGTAATTGACCCGTTAATACGGTGATATTTTTACGACAATTCGACAACGACAGCGCGCGTGCTCGCACACACCCCTCTGAACCGGGGGACCCTCGAGGATTCGGAATTTCATCCGCGAAAGCGAGCTCATTAAAATCATTTACACCAGTCGCATCCGTGTCGCGTAATCGATTCCGCACGCTTCGATGCGACGCAATTCCCTCACGCTTCGAATAACATTCCACCCTTTTCTCTCTCGCTCTCTCTGATTTTTTCGTTCCGATCCATATATGCAGCCCCATTCATTTGTTCCGGGCGTATTTCAACGGATAATAAGCGACCGGAGCGGTGAGAGAATCTCGAAATCGGATGACTTTTTTTTCCCTTCGTTATCGGACGATAGGATCGAATAATTCCCGTCCGAACGAAGGACTTTTCGACGGCCATCTGTTAAAAGAGTATTCGACAGGAGGATGTTAACGGTATTTTTTTTTTTCATCGTAGTAATAGATACGAGGTCTGATCAAAAAATTCCAGGACTGTTTAAATTGCGCGCCAACGAAAGGTCGGAGCGTGGTGAAATTGTTTTAAATGTTAGTCCTAACCTTCCTGAGGACGACCGAGTTTGCAAAATTTCGATAATCTTCTTGGGTGAAAATCTACAGCTGTTTCAGTGAAACAAGATATTTGCGTTCAGCGATTTTAAGATGAATGAAAAAGAAGAACAACGCATTTGTGTGCAATTTTGTGTGAAATTGAAAAAAATAATCACGGAAACTTTTCAAATGTTACGGGAGGCTTTCGGGTACGACGTCGAGACCAAGACCCAATCATCACAGTGGACGTCAAAATCTTCTCCGAGACCCAAAAAAGCTCGCCAGGTGAGATCGAATGTGAAAGTCATGCTCACAGTTTTCTTTGACTGGAAGGGTGTTGTCTATCACGAATTTCTTCCGCAAGGTGAGACGATTAATCGTTTTCGTTACCGCGAAACCCTGAGAAACTTGCGCGAGGCAGTGAGGAGGAAAAGACCTGAACTCTGGCAAAGCAGGGAATGGCTTTTGCATCACGACAATGCACCCGCTCATTCGGCCCTGCTCATTCATGATTTTTGCACAAAAAACAGCATGACAGTCTTACCCCAGCCCCCCTAATCTCCCGATCTGGCCCCTGCGGACTTTTTCCTGTTTCCAAAGCTTAAGTACCCGCTGAAAGGAAAGAGATTTCACATGATTGACGAAATACAAGAAAAATCGCTGATGGAACTAAACAGCATTTCAGAAGAAGCGTTTTCCCGATGCTTCCAGCAATGGAAACAGCGATGGGAAAAATGTATAGCTTGCCATGGGGAGTACTTTGAAGGGGACAGTGTTGAATAACTTGTACGAATTTTCAATAAATTTATAAAAAATAAGTCCTGGAATTTTTTGATCAGACCTCGTACGTCATTTTTAATACGTTGCATCGATTTATTCCCGCGATCGCGTTTTCACGGGAATTGTTCTGATCGGATGGAAAACCGCGAAATCTTTTATTCAATCCTCGAGTTTACAGAACGCGGCTGACACGCAAGATAACAGTGACTTAATGGAATATCATAGGAAGGTGGATGTAAATTATAAATGGTTAACCCAGTTCTAGTCGGAGGTACAATCGATCGGTTTAATAACGTCGGCACTCCAATTATTATAAAATATTTCCCTGAATGGTATTTTTGTACGTAGAGATACATGTGTACCATTGATGATTCGCGGAATTAGAACAACTTCGATGAATCCGTGAGAACTGATCCTAGCGTAAGTTAATTCGATCAATGATTTCTATCGTCTATTAAATTTGGTGAACGTCATAACGATCATTCTGTGGAGATTCTACGGAGCCAAACAAAGACATTCGTTTGGTTAAATAAGTTTCGGTAGTCAGCGTGTAAACAGCATCAACAAGTAGTATTGAATGAAAACCCTCTTGGCCCTCAAAAAATAGACAATCGTTAGGCCCGTACTAGTTAAATAAAGTCGTTGTAAGTTCGAGTTAAAATTAACCCAGGTGTCAAACAGTTTGACTGTTAAAGTTCCGTTTGTAATGGAATCCAAAGTTTCTGTCAAGTTGTCGCTCGAAACCGATAAAAACACTTGGAAGGCGCTGTCGACAAACCGATACCGATTCCGACGGGAATACTCACATAGGGTGGCGTGCAGTAGATGGCTTGACACCACATTGGCTCCGAATGGTAGCAGACGCACAGACTGCAAACCGCAGGTCCTGGTACATAAAGGAGGCCGTGTCGAACGGTTCCACCTTGAAAGTCCGTACAGTTCTCCTCCAAGGCGCCTGAAACGATCGTCGACAACTGTACTAAGACCGTCAATGACCATGCGCGTGGCTTAATTGCATTCTGGACAACACAAGGTATATAACAATAGATTTCGTATTCCTCTGCACGTTATTCAAAATGTCACGTAGTAATAAAATTGTTGACGCATAATCGAATTTCCCATCGACGTTATCATCCTCCAAAAATGGAGAAGATTCAGTGGAAGATCTGAATCTATTTTCAACCGAGACGTCGGAATAACTAACCAGCCTACAAATGCCACCAACCCATTGAAATTGATTTGAACTTCTACCTTCCAATATGAACGAATGATTGACACGGGAATTATCACCGTAATACATGCTTCATCCTCGTAAAACATTCCCGTTGTTCGATACATCAGACGGAATGTTAGTCCGATAAATCAATTAATCATCGATGAGGATTAACTTGTTTCCATCAACGCTAAGTCGATTACCAATCGCACCGCTGTGGAACACACGTCGATTCACATGTTCGAGTTAATTATCGAATGAAATACAAGACACATATACTGTTTCAACTTATGTCTGATGCTTCCTACGGAAACCGTAATAGTATTCTCGGTACATTGCTATGGTAGGTGTTCGATGTGCCCCTTATCGGCATGCAGGATCTTCAGGCCTAGATTGAATCGCATCGCATGCATTGTCCACGCATTCTCGCAGTTCCTCGAACGTCTCTGTGCGCTTTCAACAGAAGGTCGAACAAGCACGTTTATAACGGCTCCTCAACATTCATCCCCACCAAATTAATACCTGCTAATTGTACTATCGCTTCGTATCTACCAGGACTATCCTCTTTAAAATCAACAATCCGAAACATCCTTACTCTCGAGTATTCTAGAAACACCAGACGACACGCCAGTTCTGGTAAACTAGGTGAAAACTCTTGAAATCTGAATCTTAAGGTCTGAATTACACAGTGTTCTCTATAATAGGGTAACATAGTTATAATCATTATTAGGTTAAGTACCAATGTATTTTTATATCTATCTGAATTCTATTCTTATACGTTTAAAATGAAAATCTCCATAACGTTTTAAATCAAATATCTCACCCGTATGAATTAAATTAAATTATCTTTATTTGCCCGAAGAGAACCAATCGAAAGCTCGTATCAAACGGTCCGCAAGTTTAAATCGCTGTTGATCGGTACTCGTGGTAATCATCCTACTTACTTGTCCTCGATGGTAGAAGTAGAACGGCGAACAGGCAGAAAATCCAAGCTAGGAACCTCGAGTGGAAGCTCGAAGATCTCTTCATGGTCCTCGGTTGGTCGTTTAGGCGATGCCAAAGGTGGCGATTTATTCGCTGCCGTGCCTGCGGTGAATCGACGTGAACTGACTACTCCAGCAACCTCCGTCGACGCAGTGTGCCAAGGAGCATGGTATCTGCCCGACAGAAATCAGAATAATCGCGTATATTTTCCACGCCGTTCGGATCAATTTCGCGTGGGACTCCTCTGATTGATCCTAACGCGGGATAATTGTCCTACGTCGCCGACGACCTTAACCGCTTGATTGCCCGCAAAATGACACGCATTATCGCCAAGACTCTTTCGAGATTAATCCCGTCATCTTTGATTGCGCATAATTCCTCGCGATCTAACGGAAACAGTGACCCAAAACCGTCGAAAACATTATCACGCGTTTAGGGGGCGATGTTTGAATCATCTTACGACATCTAGTGTCCCGATTAAGAAACGATTTGACAGGTACAGAAATTACGTTTCACCCTCTTCAAATGTTGTATCACTAGACTACGAACTTTTATGTAAAATGTTATTGTCTAAAGTAATTCATAAACACAAAAACCTACGTAGGAATTTTTATCTTTCGTTAAATATGTTATTGGATTCGGAGTAAAATAGAAAACTCGTTACACTTGATGAAAGTCTCGTTCTATACTATTTCTCAAAGAGCCCTGTAAGCTATAAATTCATAAAATCCGCAGTCTATATATCGCCGTGCCCGAAGGAATAATTCGTACGTATAAATATCAAGTACAATAATCCCAAGAGGCCACCTGGGAGTCAATAACGGAGAAAAAATATTATTTAAGGGATGATACGATACAACAAGGGTGAATAAAACTTCACGGAGCATTTTACGGATTAATTATCGCGAAATGTTTCCCGCGTGTATCTGCCGAAAAGAAAAAGAAGAAAACAAAAACTTAAGACGATGTTCGTGCCGCTTGTCGAGGATTTTTCAGGGGACGTTCAACAAAAACTCCAGCATCCCCGAGGAAAAACATTCGAAACGGAATTAAATGAAGCTCGCCAGAGTTCCATCGTTCCCCGAAACACTTGAAGGAAACGGTAAGTAACAAAATGCAGAGTAGTCCGGAGATAAACACAGAAATTCCACCAGCTACGGTTACCGAGCACAAAGGTTTCCGGCGTAAATCGCCCGCAGGAACTCGTTTTCTCCCGTCGAAGCGTTCCTGTCGAGGATCGCGACACGGGCTGGTTCATATTACGGGAATTTTCCTCCAACCTTCGGGAGGATTTAAACTTTTCCCTCCAATCTTCAGCCGGCTACTTTTCTACCTCAATCGCGACAATAATAGAAACGAAATTCAATTGTGGTGCAATCGTTTCTTGGACTTTCACCAGCCCATACCTCATCCAACGGGACGAGTCAGTAACATTAAATAAAGAAAGGAATAACAAACTGATTGCTCAACAATTTCGTCACCTTAATCTCGATCGAAACTTTTTTAGAGCTTACGACGCGTGGTATACTTTGAAAAGGAGTGCTTTCAGGTGGTCCTCGCGCAAGCACACCGCGAAAAAGGGGTGGATTTCACGCGTGCCCTCGAGATCTCTCGTTCCGCTATTTTTCGAGGCGGAAAACCGTTTCCGCGACAACGAGAACGCCCGGAAATAGGGGTGCTGCTGCTGGTGATTCTGTTGCGCGACGACGCGATTACGGACCGGTTCCCGAGAATCAAACTCATTAGGAAGCCTCGGGACATTTCTACATTCTCTTCAGCTCGCCAAGGAAACCACGTATACATGGCCACGATAATTTCTGGTAAAACCCTTTCAACCGCTTTAACTGTTTTAACCCGTTCCCCTATAACATCGAGTCAAACTCGTGTTGACGATTTGAAAATCGATTCAGCAAAGAAGAATATTATTCGGTTCTCTTTGAGTCGAAGTGAAGTACCACGTTGCTGGTATTGATATTTAACATTTACAGTAAATATGCAGTTGTGTTGAGTACAGAATTCTTGTTCAGAACAATGTACATAATCCGAGAGACTGCAGACGTCAAGAGAATCAGGAGATTAATATTAATTACACGTAGTTGCACGGTGAAGTGAGTACAGAAATAATCGAAACTAGATTGGAATAAAGTATAATGTGTATAAGAAATAATTAAGTTGTTTAAAATAACGTGTAAATATGAAGCACAGCTTAGAACTGTGTTACTTTATTAGAGCTTGTAAATCTACAACTTATGTAGTTATGTTGTTGTCAATCCAACGGTCTTACATAATTAAGATGAATATCTATAGAAAAGGAGGAATCACTAGTTTCAAATCCCATTTTTAATACCCTACGGATGCCGAAACACGACGAGCTTACATGTACGTCCCGCAGCTGTTACGTTGGCGGTTTACATAACGCGATGAATCCTCTAGTTCCTCGAGAATTCCTGTAAAATTGCGGATAATACGATTGCACGATGGTAATATACTGGAATAAACTACTAACACAGATTTTTGTTCGACGAACTTCCTAGATCTGCGAACGATTTCGACTCTTTTGACCTACGAAATGATAGGCTACCGGGAAACGAGAATTAAGTGACATATTTTTCATAGATTTAACGAGACGAAAAACGGTGTTAAATTGAACGAAACATAGAGGACAGGAATGTCTGTATACCGTGCGCGCGTTATTAACGAGAAGGTCTATTCTAATATTTATATATGTTATTTTCAGCGCTCACACATCGACTTTCCCGCGGAATGGTCGATCAGCAACCTCGTTTTATTTTTATCATCGTGTGAATTGCACCGTAGAGGGTACACTTCTTGTAGAAAGTGTTCCAATATTAATGGCGAAAGACACGATTATCCACGATTCTAGAAAATGGACTTCTGGAGCATCTCTGGTATTGATGGCGATACATTTGAATTGGTACCCAGAGTATATTATGGGTATCGATACTTGCAATTAAATCAGAAGTAATAAAATCCATAAATGAAAATAAATCATTTATTCAAGCAGCTATTTACTAAGGCAGATTCTCCGGACATAATGTGGAAAAGAAATCGACCAATCGCAAGCATTTTGGGAAGCTCGTGATTGGTCCATTTTCCTTACGACCTGTTACGTTGCCTCAAATGCACCGATTGCATCGAAATTTCCATACTTATGAGTCAAGTATCGATACTAAAATATATTATCACATAAAATATCGATACAAATTTGAAAAGTATCGATATTCATATAATGTGACGACATCCGTATAATGTGGAAATGAAATCGACCAATCGCAAGCATTTTGGGAAGCTCGTGATTGGTCCATTTTCTTTACGACCTGTTACGTTGCCTCAAATCCACCGATTGCATCGAAATTTCAATACTTATGGGTTAAGTATCGATACTAGAATATATTATCACATAAAATATCGATACAAAATTGAAAAGTATCGATATTCATAATACCGATACTGTATCGCCAATCACTAATCTCTGGTTCACCCCCAAAACTTAATATTCCCCCCCAAAGCGTGCTCGACACAACCATTCGAAATAAAGAAAACGATCGACTTGCATTTCAACCGTACGACAAACGAAGCGATTACATTGCTATTGTTAATAAATCATTCAATAATATAGCGAACTGCCTATCACATGAAAGACAACAACCCCGTCGAAGTCGGTGGCGACGTCCGCGAACAAGCACTCGAGTTCCCCACGGAATAGAAAACTTGCTCGAAGTTCGCCAACGACCGTCGATCCATCGTCTGATTAAAAAACGGAATTACAGGCGGCCACGGGGACGCGTTTTCATCGGGAACGACCCGGCCTTTGAACTTACAAGGGCGATTCCAAGTCCTATACACACGGCCTACACGGTGTGTGTCGAGCTGCAGGTAGGCTCGCGTGATTGCCGTCGTACTACTCCATTATTCACGCGTCACACATTCACCAGGTAAACGCGTTCACAATCGACTGACGTTTCAGCCGGTGCTGGCTTCGAAACGCAATCATACTGGCTCGCGTAATAAGTTGCATTGAGAAATACGTGGTATCCTGTAACTGACGATATACTACGAAAAGAAATGATGAGATATGTATACTTGATATGGGAGAGGATAACAGTAGGATTTGTTTCCAGAACCCAATCCCTGATCAGTTTGGTAGATACCGTGTAATAAATTTTTTCCAAAGAATTACTAAGTAATTATTAACGCGAGCAAACTAGACTTCCACTAGGGGAAAAAGTGGCGTAGGGGAGGGTCTCCTATCACTTGGTATCGGGAATGACTGAAATTTATGTGAAATTAACACTCGATTTAACATTTATTTCAGTACTTGAAATAAATTTCGTGGTAGAAGGCCTTTCTTCTACGCCACTTTTTCCCCTAGCGGAAGCCGAGTTTACTCGCAAATATACAGTTTGATAACTCATAGAGAGATATATGATTTAGGTGATCAGAAATCGCTCCCTTTGCAATCCCTAGAAAATTATCGTTTCATGGTAATAATCGAGTGACTCTGGACGCTAATAACTGACCGTCTTATAAAACAATCGGTAAAAATCATTGGCGCGATACATATTCGATGCCAGAAACTGTATACACATCCATTCCCTGTGGTAAGCTGCGTCGTACACTTTTCTTACCCCCGGCAGAGCCTCGGAAACGAAATTCTTAACCCAAATAATCGACCTTAATACGGAAATTCTGAGTGGCTGACGTCAATGCCGATACTATCAGTTGCGCGTCTATTCCGAAATGATTGCAGTGACGGAAACCCCTCGTTAATGAAATTAATTAGAAGCGTAACAGCGTCGCGACATGAAGGTGAGCCGACGATTATTAATAACGTTTCGTCGAGTATCGCAGCACGTTCGGGAATTTAGAGACCGAGTCGAATCCAATTACCGTTTCTAAGCTTTCGTGCATCGTAGCTACGCTCAGGTTCGATGTATACAATTTACCGTCGGGCACGCAGGGGAGGCGCGAAGTCCGGAAAAACAAACGCTAATTAATTCGGGACGTTAATACTAGTAATTAACTAGCTTGCACGTCACGTTAATTGCTCGCCGCGAAGAGTGCCGTTGAAACCGTATTCCAATAATGATTTCGTAACTTAACGAGGGACTTCGGATGGAAATTGATGAAGACTGCCTTATGCTTCTTTTGTTCGAACACGTTGGCAAGTGAACAACACATACTATATTACATGTATCCGTGATACTTGAAGGGGTGAGAATTTCTAACGACCGACGCGTCTGATGAGTGTTAAATTACATCACTGAATCGTGGCTGTGGCTCAGTGACCAGAGTCAATCGTTTAAAGACCTTAGCACAGTTCGAGAACAGCCGACGCTCCGAAAATTTGATTTTACGTGCAAAGTTGCACTTGAACTTAAAAACACCGAAACTTAAAAAAATAGTGTGCTTCTGAAAACCTGACAAACGTAACATTATTCAATTTAAGAGAGAAAAAATTTGGCAGAGTTTTTGATTTACTTCACCTATACTGTTTTTTTTAATTAACTAAATCTACACGTGTGGGTCTGTAGATACTGAAGGAGATTAAGATAAATCTTGTACGCTTTGAAAAATAGATTATCAGTAGGGGAATGCATTATTTATGAACATGTAGTTGAAAGTCTGTTTAAAGATTTATCAATGTTGCGAATTACTTCCCGCTTTTTTAACAGCTATTGCTGCAACACTCTTCCGTGTGGAATCTAGGACACTGTAAAAGTGATTCGTTGAACTTCGTTAGGTTGTCTAGCGCGGAATACGGCAGTATGTTGTGAGAATAGTTTAGAATCACTCTATATATCAGTCGCCTCTCTCCCTCCCCGACTCCAGAAACTTTCATCGCAGATGCAGCGAATTAACCCGAACGCATCGAATCTGTCGCACGCGCTTCAACGCCTACCATTCAAACCGACCTGAACTAGCTGTAAATAGAATAAAGATAAACCCAAAGAAAATCGAAAACGCATAAAAAAATCTTCAACAACGCGGCTTAAAAATCAATGGGAAAAATTTACGTGGATAAATACCTACAAGAATACACGGTGCTCTAATGATTACTGTGTCAGACTGAAAGTCATAAAAATAAAGAGAAAAATGTTCACCCTCGTAGCATTGGAAATTTTAAAGAAATTACGATAAAAAGTTTGATTTTTCGGATGATTTAATATACGAACAGATACATCTACTAACAGAACTATCCTAAGAAGGAATAATAAAATTCCAATAACTTGGTAACTGTTGATTTCTAGACCCACGTTCACCAACACTGTCGTCCTAGCCACACGGTTCTATAAGTTCCATACAACTTTACATTATACACTCCTATTTCAACGGTATCGAATAGACGTACACTAAACATTAACGATCAACAAACTACAGCCTCAACCCCATTTTAACCTAAAGCCCCAAGGAGTTCCGTCAGTCCCCCCCCCCTTTATAAATATTAGAAACAGTACATACGTTCACAGTTGAATAACACGAGACTCGAGATCCCAGAATCAATCGAAAGAGTTCCAGCGTCAAAATAACGAAAGAAAAAAATTAATAAATTACCTCTAATGTGCATCACGCTGTTCCCTCCTTCGTACCTCGTGTCTCGGAGTCCATGTGTCCCAGAGACACTAGTCCCACGAACGAGCGTTTTCGCGCGGAAAAGCGAAAAGTCTGCGAAAGGTGTTTCGTTTCTGAAAGAAACCAGTCGCGAAAATCAACGGTCGATCGGATATGATTCCGTGTGATCGGTAACCAGTTGCCCACGAGGGTACTCGCGAGTGTTCACAGGGAAACGAAAGAGAGAAGGAACCTCGGCTCGGACTCGACGGGCTCGATGGCCAAACAGCGACTGACTGAACTCTGTCGCAGTGTGAGGCCACTCGGGCCGCGTTCGCGGGTCGATCGAACACGTTCTGCGCCTCTCCTCGGCACCGGCGTCAAAGCCACCCTCGACGGACGCAACGCAACCGGTGCAGCCGATGCACCTGCAGCGGGACCGTTTCCCCGTTGAAACACCAAATGTCACCCGTGTCTTCGCGCTACCTGCTCCCTCCCTGCGATCAACAGAGGAGCTGTTCTCATGCGAACCGATCGAAAATCGATCTTTAACAACTTGGATCGGCGAATGGAACTTGGAGGGATCACGAATGCAGAAGGTAAATGGTACCTATTGGGGGACGTTTCACACCTGACGGATCTAGACCGTCGTGAACATTGTTAAGCCTTTGGGTACCGATTTATTTGAAGAAAATTTCGCGTGAACATATGGAGGATGTATGTACGCGGAAACGATAATTTTCCGCTAACCAGAGTTGTGCACAATTTATTTGAATAATTGAAAGTGAAAAGCACCAGTCTCTAAGATTGTCTCCATAACAGTTAATGAAATTAAGGAATTGTTTGTCAAGTGTCCACTCATTCAAGAGGAAATGTTATTTTATTATAAAAATTAGAATTTCCACGTTTAATTAATTGAAATTGATGATGAAATTTTCTTTATCTTTTCATTGAGTTTGCCCGTTTCTGCCGCTAAAGTACTAAGAAAACGACGAAGGCGTCGGACAAACGAATCCACTGGTGGTAACAAAAGCGTTCTTAAAAGAAAGTAATACTCACCCATCGAATCATGGAACGAGAACTCTGATGGACCCATCGTTTCTTACGTCCTCTCTGACTGAGTATACCGTATGGAGATCATCTATCTTCGCGTTCGTTTTCCGTGATATCGTACATTCACAGAAAAGCCCGAGGGGAACCGGGAGCCTCGTAACGTGCAACGGTGAAGAGTATCCGGGGGCTAGTTGCTTCGACAAAGACAAGTTTAAAAGACCCAAGGACGATGGATCCGTAAAAACAACAGAAAGAATGCGTTAGCTTTGATGTCGAACTAAAAAAATATGAAAAACCCACCCCCTCCCTCCCATTGGACAATATTTATCAAGATTTACGTTTTCTCAAGACTTTCCTAAGAAACGTGGGAATTACACGATCGCTGAACAATCACTGGAAAACTGTTCCACCTCTTTTAGTTATTTGAACGATCCTTTTAATTTTTATTCCAACGAAACGTGTCGTTTCGCTGATAAAAAAATCATCTTGATAGCTCGAATTTAACGATATTACGGAGAGAAAAAACGATCCTTTCGAAATTGCGTTTATTGCCAATCCACTGCTCCCTTTCAATTCCTATATTCAATTCGAGTGGGCTTTCTGAAGCATCGAGAGAACTCGTTAGAATATATATCCAGGAAATTTCGACGCGTCCAGACAACGCTGGAAAAAGGATCTAACGAGGACAAAGTACTCTAAATGAAAAAGAGAAACAGAGACAGGCGGACATATTGGAACATCGTCAACATTGTCATATATCAACGAGTTAAGTAACCCTTCAATACACAAGATACTCGATACATATGAAGGTATTGAACTAGATCAAAATCTAGAGTAGTAGCACCAAATACATATGAGGTGATAGGGTCCGGGTACACTCAACAAGGCGGGAATCTGTCGTCGATACGTTTTTATTATGCGTCGGTCGAGTTAGAAACGGCTCGAGCCATTCCCTAATTCCCTTCCGCGGAATTCGCCCTATTACGCAGCGCTCGCCACACATATATGTATATTAATCTGAAAATTCAATGAATATATTTCCCACACTTACAAGGTTTTTTTTAAAAATAAGTTAAAGGTACAGAGAAAGAGTATCGATGAGATATAAATCGCACTCCTACATAAAACTGCGATTTAGATTATTGTCCGTGGACTTATAGCTGTATTGTTTCTCTGACTACTGGAGAAGATTGTAACGATTTCAGAAGTCCTGTGAAGTTTAAACATCCTAGTAAATTCATTAATGAATTTCTAAAGAAATATAAATTGGATTGGAGAATAATCACGTCCATTCAAAGTCGAATCATAGTGTCTTTTTTGAAAATAAAATTTAAGGATATATAATATAAGGCCTGACCAAATATGTGTACATTAACAGGTTGAATGCCACGGGGGTCACCGGTGACCGACGTGCCCGGATTGAAGAAAAAATAAGAAAGGTAGACAAAAGACAACACTTATAATTTCTTATTATTATCATCGTTGATGTAGTGGTCTGAAGAAATGAATGCAGTATAAAACATTTGAAAATAGTTTTATTTATACATTTAATATAGTTTTATTATGCGCGCACGTTACGATGTGTCGTATTAAAACATTCTAAACAAAGGAAGGGTGAACCAGCACAGTCTTTACAATATGTCACGACTTTTTTGGTACAGTTTTTTGCAATTATTCTTCCTAGCTTCTTTGAATTTTTTTGATAACAAATTTTGCAAAATCTTCGCGCCGTTCGAGCTTTTCCCGGCATTGCTTTTAATTCATGTCGTGGTTTTTTCAGCAACCTTTCATGTGGAGAAATGGAAACTTCAGCTTCATGATCACGACTGATTGTTAACAGTCTCAAAAATAATAAAATCGTAACAGTATTACTGTACAATGCGAAGACACTATTTGAGATAAATGACAATCGCGCGAAATCGTACTCCAGCGCCACGGGGGTCACCGGTGACCCCCGCCGAAATTAACATGCCAATCATGTTTATACGTTGTAAATTATCTATTGTAGATAATATTTCAACATTATATGTATCGCTAAATAGAAAGTTCATCGTGGCGCCACGGACAATCCCGGTAAAATTGGCGTGGCATTCAACCTGTTAATTATAGAGTTTTTATTTCCTGAAAATCCATAGAGAATCTTTCTACGAAACAAAGATACTGAAAACGAATTAGAAATGTAAATTTTCACGGTGTGTCACGTTTCACTTCTTTTTCACATCCTGTGAACTCTCTTCCCTTTGCACGATTCACGATTGCTACCTAATATTGCCATAGCAACGGATCGGTCCTGTTTTGTTTCAAACAAGCGTTCCAGCAAGGTCGGCAGCGGAACGGTTTCTTCGACACTTCGAACGCTAAATAACGATATTTCGTTTATTCATCGAAAGCAAAGTCTACTTTAAGCACCATGAACGGGCTCCATAATCTGCTTGAAAAGGTAATTCATGTTACTTGTTCTTCTCTCTTAGACTATGTAAATACATCGAATTGAGTACATTAACAATGACCGAACGAATGATGTGGGTCAATTGAAACAAAGAAATTAACACAGAGACAAATATTAAGGTAAACGAAATGTTACGTTATTGCGATCGTAACATTTTTTCTATTGTATCAGAAAAACTTAAAGTCTAATTTCAATCGTAGACTGAATTAAACTATCATCAGTTACGGTTTTTTGTAAGCTCTTTCGTTGGTGGAACATACTGAAATAATTAATTAACATCTTTATTGTAAGAATTAAACGAATTATCTATCAAGATACTACAACTTGTTACTTCTGTGTAAGGAGGAGAAACGTGTACGAGATCGGCGTCGACATCTTCTTCACCTCATATCTTCTTATCTGGAGAATAATGGGTGAGCCTGCCAAAGTTTTAATTCCTCTTTCGGAAGTGTGTACCACCTCCCGTACGTTCTCTTTTTTCTTATACCGACTATAAAACTACCGATCGAAAGAAATATGAATTCGTAAAGTACAAGATTGGTCCATTAATGCTGCTATTAAATAAATAATAAGTAACGCTAAAACAAGTATAACAAATAACAATAATACTACTAAGCATTTCGAACCAAACACGATCGTAATAATATTGATCAGATATATATATATACACACACGCATATATTTAAGGAAGAATTTACTGTTTACAGATACATAAAGTCTTCCGATGTGCTTGCACTTGAAGCACAGCTGTCCGACAACATTCAAGTCTGCGACAATATGGATCTGGAAATGATTCTGACCGAATACGACAACTATTACAACTTGAAATTCAATAAACATCCTATCCTTTGTAAAAAGGCCGAAACGACTGTGTCCGCAAACTCGATGTAAGCAAATGTTTATTATAACAAAAAAAATTTCATGAAATTATTTCCGTTATTCGAAAATATTCTCCGTTTTTTAATCATTAGGCTGTGTTAGCTATCTTTTATCTCCTTTTAACCCTTCTCGGACGAGTATGCATACGAGAGTCAACAAATGTAATTACTAGACTGCGGATATTTATTGCTAATTAGATTTCTCTAGTCTAATTTATAGAAACTGTAATTGAATAAAAGTTTCTTTACTTTATGTATTATTCTACCAGATTCCAAACAATATGAAAACCTTAAACTTTATCAAACTCTCAACTAGAATGAACTCCACACAATCGTGTATGCTATAAATGCACAAAAACTGCAGTCTAGTAATTACTTGCTATCGTAGGTGCGACTTCCGATTGTCAAAGTGAAAATATGATATTCCTTATTTGACGACGATTGTCTGCAAAGTGCCACTAGCGACAGTGCAAACAATGTCCGAAAATACCAGTACTGAGAACAATTTTACAGTACATATCAAGATATTACGGTTAAGTGTCTTCTTTATTTTATTACCTAAACATTCAATTTTCCAGGGAGAAGAAGGCGAAGGCAACTCGTTCGCTTAAGCAGAATGAAAATAAAAACGCGAATAAAAGGGAACCGGACAAAGAGAAGAAGGGGGAAAATATTAATGACATAAACCTAGCAGTGACAGTGAAGCCCGTATTTTCCAGCGGACCCGAGAACCAACCCGCAGCCATAATGGATGGACCGGAACCAGCTTCAGGATCAAAGACATCCGTGTCCATCGACGATCTTTATCCGGAGGATTCCGAGTTTCGAAAGATAGCTGAAACAATCTCGAAAGTAGGTAAAAGGGAGAAAATTATTTATGACGAGATGCAAATTGTCAGCACAGTGGGCCATTTTTATTCGGGCAATTGAATACAAGTCGGCAGCCACTCGGCTACCATCGCTTACAATATTTGACGTCGGTACCCTACGTGCAAATATCGTAACGTTCTGGTACACCTAAGTGTCTGAGCAGGTAGCATAAATCAGACATTATGCGTTTCTGGACACATATATTTCAAATTATACACATAAATATATAAGTTCAAATGTTTCTCGCGGATACACGAGTCTCAGTTTAGAATTGTCGATACCGAATCGTAGAATCACTGATTACATTTCTATACAGGAAATCGTGATGAAAAACTTGAACGTTCATTGGGACGACATAAAGGGACTGGCAGATTGCAAAGTCGCCATTAAGGAGGCAATCGTCTATCCCATAAAATATCCGATATTCTTCCGTGATAAATTTACCGCTTGGAAAGGAATTTTACTATACGGAGCACCTGGCACAGGTAAAACATAGTCGACCATCTCTTTTTTTTTTTTGCGTTTAAAAAATTATAAATAACACATTCACGGTGAATCCTCGTGTCTAGGTAAGACCATGTTGGCGAAGGCGACCGCAACTGAATGCAATTGCACTTTTTTCAACATATCAGCTAGTTCGTTGGTTAGTAAATGGCGAGGGGACTCCGAGAAATATCTTCGTGTAAGTAGACGTGTTCGTTTTATCATTAACTTCCCATAAACTACCGAGAATTTACTCTGTATACTGAATTATACAAAGTGTAAATGATGCTCAGCATTATTCTGCGTTTTTATTATTTCTTCTGGATAGAATAATCATTTTTCGTGTTTGCAAAAAATATGAATTTAAAAATATTCATTCTGAAGAGTTCCAATTGTTCGAATAGACTCTTTTCGATGTTGCCTACCAACGATCGCCAGCGATTATCTTCATCGACGAGATAGATTGGATAGCCACAGATACGGAAAATGGTCCATTATCCGAACCAGCTAGAAGATTTCGAGCAGAATTGCTCGCCAGACTGGATGGATTAATATCCGATGAAAATGCAAATGTCGTGTTATTAGCTGCGACTAACTCTCCTTGGTACGTAACATAAAAAGAACAGACTTCTATGAAAAGCAATCTGACAATGAAATTTTTAAGTTTTTACAAGCCATTTACCCAATTAGTGATTAGGATAGGAAGCTATATTATTTATACACCTGCTATTAACCGCAGCATAATTAACGACCATACATTTTTTTCTACTAGGATCATCGACGCCGCATTACTGAGACGCCTGGAGAAACATATATACGTACCGTTACCCAATAAACAAACTCGACTTGATATGCTCAATACCTACGCCTGCGTAGACTTAGCAAATTCACAAGACTTACACAACATGAATGTAAATTTAAACCATTATTCTGGTTCTGATATAAAAATGCTTTGCAAGCAAGCATGGATATTACAAGTGACCCCAACTATTGAACGTCTTGAAAATAAGGAAATATCCATATTAGACGTCCCATATGAAATAGCGAGCATCGATCACTTAGAGAAGGCGCTCGAATTAGTGAAACCTACGATTAAAAATAAAGATGATTACTTAGCTTGGATAGCAGGAAAGAAGGAAAACAAGCAACGAAAGTAACACAATAGAGCTATGAACGAAAATTATATTTTAAATAAAAAACCATTATACAATCAGCAGTTTTTCCTTTTCTCTTGATTATTTCTCACTTGTTTTAAACCATGATAATAACCTGCAGAGAAAACTGAATGGATCAATTGTACATGTAAGTAATACAAAAAACATATAAAGTTATTACCTGTATGAAAGCCACTGATATACCATGACATTAACATACTTGACAATGCATCTGCATCATTGTCTGGAAGCCTGAAATATTTTTTAACTGAAATTGCATATACTTTTCTAATTACGATTTAAAATTAAAAAACTTTCAATATGATATTTACTGAAAATTGCTAGGAAAAAATTGGCTACTTACTTTGCCATTAGTTGTGGTGGCAATGGAGGAGCAGGTGGCATAATGTCTACTGCTGAAGTAAAAGATGGCCCAGGCATAAAGTGTTGCTTATATGCTTTTGCATCCTCAGTTTCGTATTCCATTTTTTCCCCATTATACTTTTTAGAATGGTCACTACTGGCAACATACGTCTTTTCTGTCTCCACACTTTCTTCATTAAGTTTTTGTGCAATAGCATCTTTTTGTTGCGCTATCTGACTTTGTAAACCTTCAGATTCTAACAAAAAATATAACCCCACTTTCTCTGTATTACCATACCCTGAAAATATTGGAATTAGCTTGTTTGATAAACACGCACAATCTATAATGTTAGATATGATTGAAACTTTTGTTAAACTTTAACATTAACTTTTGTCTGTTAGAAATTGATCAGTTTGAAAGCATTACCTACAAATTTTACAATACAAGTCCCACTATTCTCATAGATTTTCGATATTATAGCTTCATAAATTTCTCCATCCTCTGAGTATATAGCTCGACAGGGAGATCCTACACTCCACTTCTATTTGAGTAGAATATACACAAAAATCAATATAATTAGATACACGAAGAGATCAGTTTTAAGTCCTGAATTTATAGATTCACAATTGTATTGCATATTCAATTTCTGAAACAATTACAACCTTATAAGGTGTACTTGTACGCTTAGACTGCTTGGAGTTTTGTGTCTTTTGCTTTACTTCAGTATTTTGAATATCCATGCCCATTCTCTTCGCGACTTCCTCCTTCGCTAAATTCACCGCTTTATCGTAGGCTTTTATTAATGCGCTGTCATCCCAAACATCGTCGTTATCCGTATTTGTTCCCTTAAAAACGAAAGTGAATATTGTATAACACACTCACACATTTTATTTCTGATCTTTTATAGTGTACACTATCGACTTGTACAAAGAAGTGTAAATAACAGTAATTGCAGTACTTTTTAAAGTATACAAATAAATCGAACATTTATTTTTAGGTGGCTTTATAAAAACCATGACCGTGACTTAATATTAAAAACACATTCATACATTTCCGTTCCCCCGAACAAAAAGCACGTTGTCTTCTGCCATTACATTTAAATAATTATATCTTAAGATAGAATTTATTTACGAAAAATTAATTTGTTACGTCCATTTGAGTGTGACAAATGTAAATGCTGTAAACCATGGCAACAACAATCACGACTGTTACCAAACTGTCATGGAAAAAATTCAGTTATGTGGCGTCATCTAAGTAGTTATTTACACGACCGGTATTTCAGAACTTAAAACATCCCTAACGCTAAATGATAACACCACAGACGAGATATAAGAATAGACCTAACATGCAATGTAAAGTTTTTGACCCATGCTTCGAGGGCGTCAGAAGCCCCCTTACCATTTTAGTGTCAATACCCGACGTTACCGATAAAGCATGAATTCTGAGTATTATTAGCACAAATGAAGTGTTATATATTCCATTCATATTGCGTGTATCTATATGATTTGACGGGAATAAAAATATCCGATGCTTCACTCGAATGGATTTAACGTAGTTCACAAATTCATCGTTCTCACAACGTAGAGGGCAGCAGAAAATCCCTGACTTTTTACACTATCGGTATTTCAGAACATGAGACACGAAGTCCCATAAGATGATAGGTCTATCCTATACCTAGTCGGTGATAACACTAATTGTTTAACAGCTTTAGAGTTTTACCGTAGATAGCGCCGTGAGTATGTTTCGTCACTTTAAAATGCCCTACCAATAAGATACAAACTCTTATATGTATCTGGCCTATGTATAAAAAATTAATTATGCATTGTTATGAATTAAGAATACACCTGGATCAGTAGCTGTTAATAACTAATTCACGGGATTTCAAAATGTAATTTAGCTTTATTAGAAAAAATATTTTATCATAATTTATGCGCTTTCTTTTCATACTGTTATCTGAAAATTTTGCTAAGCAACCTTGGGTGTAAACATTAAGCTCCTGTAAATAAATTAGATAATAAAGTATGCTTTGTTGAGTTTTGATTGTTGTGTCTTTGTTTTTTGTTGTATCAATATGTCCAGCGAGGATGTTGACTTCATCAAAGGATACGCGCTACATGCAGAAAATAAGGGGGAACAAGATCTAAGTCTCGGTTATGCTTATCCTACGATAATTAAGTTAGAAGATGCCAATGTACTTGTATTAAATAGAAAAAGCTATCGAAAATCAAGTCAGGAATCAATATTAAGGGAAGATGGATTATATGTTTCTGATAATCCTTTTATTTACAGTGACATTGAACCACAACTTGATCATATGCAAATCTTAGAATATCAGAGGAAACATAAATTCTCTGGAAAACTTGTAAAGATTGTACTTCGTAAAGTCGATATTAATACTTTAAGAGATCAATCAGATACAATCGAAATTACATCTGTTTATTTGTTGTTTAAGAATAAAGTTATATGTAAAACAAATAGACCTTTCAATAGAAAATTACATAAACTATTGATCAAGAATTCAGAATGCAACAATTTATTTATACAGGTGCATGCCAAAGGAGGACAGTCTAGTATATTGCCATTGCCATTACCTAAACGAAATGTTGAAAACAATAAAGTAGACATAGACTTTGCAATAAGTGATAATCTAGGTAGAATACATGGTGGCACAGTCACATGTACCATTACATTAAATAATTATGGTACAAAAGCACAAGAACCATACACAACACATTTTTACAAATTAAGTAATGATCCAAATGATCCACAAATTAGTCTATCCTTACTCAGACCAACCAAAACTATTTGCAAAAAACAAGTTAAATATTTTTTATTGGAAGATCCAGCATTGACCTTCAATAGTGATCCAGAGGTCACTATTTCTAAAAAAGTTCAAGTAGATGAAGAAAAATCACCAGATATAGTTGTAATCGAACAACCAGCATTTTCTTTATTTGACATATCTTTTGGAGATTTGTTTCAAGCTAAGAGACCATTAGAACTACCAACAAGTACCCGAAGACACCATGCAATAGGAAAAACTATTCTGACTGTTAATGTGTTACGTGGAATAGAAATACCAATCAGAGAAGAATCTGCATTGGTTCAACCATTTGTAGAAGTTGAATGGGGTAACACAGTTCACGCAACAGTTATAGCAGAAGGACCAGCACCTGTGTGGCAACAAACAATGCATTTTGAGTTACCAAAACAAAATGATGAATACTGTATAAAATTTCGTTTATACGATCAGCATCCTGTTTGGGGTCAACAATGGCTAGGTGAAACTAGAATTCCGATTGAGCATCATAGGAATTATCAAGAACTGGAACGATGGATCACATTATCTACTTTGTTCAGTCCATTGCTATTATTTGGATATGTGCAAGCCAGTCCTGGTCAATCATATACACGTATTTATGTTTTAATTAAAATGGAACATCCAAGTACTCAGTCTATGGAAAATACTACTGTAAATACGTTATTGAAAGGAATTCCAAGATGTCTTGTTACACCATATAAAATTAATGATTTGGAAAATGCAAAGGATGTTGCAAGACTAGCGATGCTTATACCATCACTGCCAACCTATTATGGACCAGTAACACCACGTCAGGCATTAAATATAAAGAAGGTAGATCACTATGGAAGAGCAGCTTTACTCGCATCATTGTTACAAGGCTTAAGTTTACAAACATATGTTTTATTAGGTATGTAGTACTATTACATGTTCTTTAATTTTCCGCTTTAATAATGTAATTGATACAATAGGTTCCTCGCAAATCAGTAAGTGGACTGCATTTGTTCTAAGTATTAGTGAAAATGGGATATACACATTGTGGGACCCAGAAACAGGAAATTATCATAAAATGGATGATAGTCATTGCCCCTTAATGAAGGTTTCCCGTTTAATCAATCACTTTGGTGTTAGTATTATGATTTCTATTACAATTTAATTTAAAGTAACACACACTTTTATTCTTATGAATAAATGTACAATATTGTTTCAATAGATGTGGGAAAATTTACAAAAATCTATTTTACCTCATAATCTCAAATATGATGTGAAATCAAATAAAGACTGGCGACCCATTGAATCAACTTCAGCAAAAAGTGATCATACAATTCAAGTACTTGAATTAAGTATTACAGATGAAGAAGTGAAGCAATTTAAAAAAGTGTCTGTGGAGATGGAGCAACATTTGAAAGACAAATTGGCTGAATGGCGTAGTATAGTTGGTTTGACAACAATATTTAATCGACACGCAACAACTGTCTTACGAAATTTTATTTTGAAGATAGAACCTTCTTCAGAACCACAGCTAGATAAAAGAGATTTGAAACAATTGCACAGAGCTTACCATATACATGGCTTTGTGTTGAATAAGCGTGATAGCAATAAGAATGATTTAACTGAACAGTTAAATGCAACAAAAATTCATAACATTACTGGTCCAATTGAATTTGCTCTGGTGTGTCACATACAGCCTTATGTTGGAAAAATATGTTCGATGTGGTTGGCTGTTATAATTCTAAGAAGTCGTGATTAAGTTATTTGTATGTAAGTGTATTTGCTTATTACATATATATTTGTATACTCCATTAAAAGTAATGTTACAATGCGTACAAAGGAGTATAAATAACTAGTATTTATCACAAAAATTTTTTGCAAAAAATACAGCTTCAAATATAAATCACTAAATATACACTTTCCTTAAAATTTCGTATATAAAAAGATATTATGACAAAAAATCGCATGAAGAAGAGATTAATCGGAGTCGTTTAAAAAATAGTGAAATCCTACGATTTTTTGTCAGTAATACTTCATTAAACATGTAGTTTTTGAAGTGACATTTTTAATAAAAAAAGTACAAAGTTTTGGTAATAAATCTAGTCAAGACTAAAATTTTTTATGAGTGTAGTTTTCGTAATGTCGAATTATTAATAATGCATATTGTTTGTATATGGAATCGAAAATTTATGATGCTAATGTGTCATGAAATATTTGTAGAAAATCTTTCACGGTATTGACTCATGTGTACATTCAATATTAATTTCGTGTAAATATTGTGTCTTGTACTCTGCAGCATTGTAGTTTCATATTGACCCTACGATGAAGAATGAAATTTAAAGAAAAAGTGTACCTGTGTTGTAAAAATTTTTAGTCCGATTTCAGTACACACACATACAACAATGAAACCATATAGAGACTAATATATATCTAAATAACATTCTTTCGATATCGATTCTTTTTATATTTTTACAGTTGCACTAGAAAGGTTTAATGAACAAAAATGGTGGGTATAAACGTAATACATCTTTATGTTTTTTGCATTGCGCAGCAATGCCCTTTTTATAACAATTGTAATTTTCCTTACATACTGTGACAATAATAAAACGTATTAACAATATCGTATTGCCTAAAGGTTTTAGAAATAGTTCAAACAGAAAACAAACCTGTGCAAAATGAACGAGATTGATTTGTACTAATCAATAATTATGATCGTACATTCTATCTGTTGCATTTTGACTGCAAACCGGATATAAAAATTTTTGCGTTTCCATTAAAAAAAACAGGTGAATGGTTTCCATGGAATCTCCATTTGTGCGACATTTTCAACTATCTAGATTCTAGAAGATTCTGAGTGTTGCAATTTGTTGAATTGAAATTACCACGTATGTAAAATATTTATCGTAGAAAAATGTTCGTGTATATAAATGTTCATCTAACTTACAAAAATTCAACCAAAACATTACCGTAAACTCATAAATACTCTCGTATCATAAATAAACAAATTTCTCAGAAAAAATTAACAACGAGCGTGTTTCATTATTCTAGAAATGCCTAGCAAACAAGATTCATTAAATAAGACCCCCCTATAAATACAGTGTTAGGCATGTGTCTGCAAAATGCAAATAATCCTTTCGTTTGCAAAACGCGTACACCTCCGTTAATAGTTTTCTTTTTCATCGTGTCAGAAGGTGTTTCATTTCCAATTTATTCAAAACGATCGTTCGCAGAATACAGGCGTTCACAAAAATATTGTCCCCCAGAGGATATTAAAAAAAATAAATAAAATCTGAAAGTGATCGTTCTATGCCAAGAAGTTCGATCTTGAAGAACCAAATATATTATTCATGGAATATTTCGAAATATAATCTACATAATTTCTCGAAATCTTAGATGTTTTGTGAACAACCGTATCTGCGTTTAACTAAAACGACCAGTGTGCTACTGCATATTAGGTACAACCATATTGTGACCGCCATGCTTGCATTCTAAACGTTAGATCTACGACGGGAAACGAAAACCTAAAGGCAGTCCCTGACTCGACGATCCGTTTTCATTATCTTTTTACAAGGCAGATTTCAACCGTCGGCCACAAAAAGATCGCTTACTTTAAGCTTACATTACGCAACGCTATCGTACTCGATCGAATACACGATCTCGTAACTCCTATTGAAGACTAAACTTTTATACAGGATGTTCCGGAAGTCTTCTACAGAGCGTGGTTCGTTATTGATGGTACAAAACCGACGAAGCTTTGATTCTACATGAAAAATCGATCGACACTCTCGAATAAAACTCTTGGACACGGGGGCTTTATTTTTGATGAAAAAAAATTACTTTGAAAATTTATTGTTTCTACTTGTTTCAACTACTGGTTGTTTCTATATACTTATTGCGACCGTCGAATGCATGCGTATCACATAAATATTCAAGAGCAATTTTCATGAAAACATGGACAACACGAACAACTTTTATTCCACACTTTCGACTAATCTTTCATAAAGAATGAGACTCTCTCGGCGATTGCACCATCAATAACAAATCGCCCTGTGTTCTGATGAAATATAGTGAACTCGCGTATGGCAAAGACATTCGCTGAAATCCATTTTACCACGTTCAAACGGATAACGACTATTCAGAACACCTTGTATATTTGACTAATTTGTATTTACAACATCCTGGACCAGCGATCTAAAGTTTGTGCTATTGATCCAAGAGAAAAACAAAATCGCAGGCCGGTAAGTTAACAATCGCGTTGTGTTAAATTCGGCCCTGGAAACATCGGATTCTCCGGTGAATCGCCGATTTTTCCAGGACACAAGAGGGTATTCGAATGTCGTCCCAATCACGTACAAAGTTGTGACTCGCTAGCAAGAACTGAAATTCTGGCCGAATGGGTTTCCGATTCCGACGTTCTCGTTACTTGAAACGAACTCTTGAATGATATTTCCTCTTTAATCTTTCTTTATCCTACTTGTGGCTCGCACAACTCGAACGACAGCAGTGCTTTAACGAAAACCTTAGGAAGTATGATATTTATTGAGTCTTTTTCGACACTCCGTTCGCGTATCCGTTGGCGTGACCGTTCGTGACTTTTCCGTTGCATGTCGCTTCCTTGGCTGCTGCACCTTTCGCCTTCATTTTCTCTAATTGCCGCTCTGCGTACGCTTGCTTGCCCTGCACAATCAACGTTTCATGTTAAACAATTTCGTAAAGTCTCCTGAATCTTGAGGCTTTTAAAACTCTTCGATTCAAGGTATAGAAAAATCTCGTTCGTAACCTTTGAAAACAACTCGTAATTCGAGTTAAGTCTAGTCGAATCGAATCGAATAACTCAAATATCAAGGTAGTTTAATCGTCCGAGCAAAACTTGAAAGAATATCTTTTTCGATGCTGTGTCTTGGGAACCGTAATGTGCTATCTCAAGATTCATGTACCTTGGCGATGTACGCTTTAGCGTAGAAGTTTCCGAATAGCACGATGAAGGAGACCATGTAAATGACGAGAGCGTATTGCATCCAGAGCGGGAAGTCGCAGCCGGATCGAATACCGTTGATGCCAAGGATCAAGGCGGTGGTGAACTGTATCAATTGGAGGATCGTCAGGTATTTCTTCCACCAAAGGTATCTGGCAACGGTCGGGCCGAGCGCGGCCAATCCGTAATACGAGTACATGAGCACGTGGATGAAGCTGTTCACCATTGCTGGTAGGAAAGCTGAAAAATACAAATGTGTTTCACTTCAATCTCGACTCACGATACAGAAGTTGCTCTTCATTGGCAGGAAAAAGAACATTTCATTCACGCTGCTTCCAACTTTCATTTCTTCGATGTACTTAATGCACAAAAGATTACACGAGAGTAAAAGTACAGCGAATAACGAAAGTATTCGAGTAATAAGACAGCCATTACTGGACACTATGCGACCAAGGTATGCATACGATGGTCACTGATTTATTATACAAATATCGTATATGCTTTAAATAAAACACAAATTATAATCCTGTTGTTCGAATACTTTCGTCACCACAGGCACTTTTGTGATTTGCAATATTTATTATTTACTGTAATGAAGCGATCAAATTCAGTTCGAACGAATGGATTACAATTTGCTTTGCAAAAATACACTGTGTATCCAACTTATCCACAAATCGCGATGTTTATGGATACGACTTTATCTGGCGGCATTAATAAGTTCTGCTTCAGTGAAAACACGCGTGCCATCGCGATTTCTCCCTTAACGACTCCGAAACAGCCAGAAACTTATATGTATCGTGACCACGTGGAACTTTCTACAAAAATTTATTATGGATCAACCAGAATGATACGGAATCAATATTCGAGCAGAATTTCTTTAATGTGATTTTTATTTAATGTCGCCTGTATAGAAATGAAAATGTTATCAATATTAAAGTTTTAGATTCGAAGTACGAATCTATTGAAAAGAAACGGATTCTGACTGAAGTAGAGGAAAAATTTGTACGATCGATTGTGAGCTACTTACTCGATCCGCTCGGGACCCATTTGATGCCGATCCACCACAACGAGAACATCGTGGAGTGGTGGTAAACGTGAAGGAAGCTTAACTGATTGTCCTTCTTCCGTAAGATGAAGAAGAACGTATCACAGAACTCGAGAAGCTTGCTGAAGTAGTACCACCATACCGCGTGTGCGATCTGAAACGAAAGTAACGGTGCATTTCAATTGACATTGATGACTTTAACGTTTGTATCGACTTTAAATTAACGCACCTGTAACTCATCTGGACGCGTCACGTGCCTGATTGGCTGGCAAACGTAGCTGTAGCTTAATCTGGTAGACGCAACGAACAACTGAAAATGTCAAATGTTTAGTATTATTTCTATAAGAATACTGATAAATTATACATCAAGTACAGGAAACAGTTTTATTAATTTAAAAAGAGAAGAATAGCCGTAATTTTCGCTTCAAAAGACTCATAAGTATTAGAACAGTTATCGAATATACAGTTACGAAATTGCGGAAAGTTTGAAAGAAATAATGTTTAAGGGGTATCAAAGCTCGACGGACAACGCTTGTGCTACTATGAAGTAATAAAAATGGCCTGAAATATATCATTTTTACAAAACAGTGCATTGTCTTCGTACAGATCAGGTGTCCTAATACTCATGATCGGTGGTGTAGGTCGTGCAAACAGTCAATAGAAGTTAAGTGTGTATCAGTACAGTGTGTATCTGTCGAGACATCTTTTAATGAGTCTCCGTACAAATTAACGCGAAACGAGAAGTAGAAGAAATCAACATGTAAATCGAGGACAAGAAAGATGACTGGTGAAAATCAGGAAAGTACCTGAATGGCAATGTACGCGTTCAGGCAGGCCATCGCGAGATTATAGGGGACGAGAGCCCACGTCAGCTTGAAGGCTTTCCGATTTCTCATAATCTTTGGCCCGGCCCATACGATCAGTAAATACAGCATCGTGTATATCAAAGTGGGCTTCGGAGAATCGACCAGCAGCCATCCTCTCGATCTTTCGTCTGTACAAATTTCAACGTCATCGTATTAATCGGCTGCAAGCTTTCACGCCACTGTGAAAGTTTAGCTTAAAAAGAGAAAGCAGCCAAAGCAAAGGTTTCGCCGTTTTTTTTTTTTATTACGAGCAATTTAATATTAATTTACATGTATATTCTGCGAGGATGTCTTACCGGCAAGGGACAGAGTCCAGAGGTAGTAATCGTAGGCATCGTTTATTAAAGTCGCCGTGGAATTAATTATGTTCGCCATTGCCTGAAACAAATACGTGGAGTACGTTTATAAAATGGTCGTGTAAAATCAGTAGCGAATCGTACGAATGCAATGACAGACAATTTCGTAAAAATGGTTTACTGTACTTGGAATTCACCTCGAGGGAAATTTGCACGCGAACTGACGAAAGTGGATGTACGATAGCAAAAATTAACTCGAAAGTAATTTTCCATATCTTCCACAATCAAAATTACCTTGACCGGTTTTTAGTCACATTACGCATTTCGAAACGCATAGGAGACTGAAAAATTCACACGGAAGTTCACTTTAAAGTACACCCATCTGTTTATCTACGTGCTTTAGATATCTCGTGACTATTATATTCCAGACTATTTCAGTAATCTTTCCGGAAGTGAAGAAGCATTACAATATGTATACGTATCATATTCATACGTTACAGTATCACTATCTAAGACGTTTGCAGTGAGTATTCATTGAAAAAAAGACAAAGAAAAGAAACCAAACGAGCAATCGACGCCATCTTGGAATCTACCGAATAAATTCAAGGACTCCGCGTCCGGACGAACTCTTCAAAGCATCTATTACCCGTTTGTTCTTCACTTTTATAGCTCCAAAATAGAACTCAGTTCGATAGATTCCAGAATTGATCTTCACGAACAATATTTCTCATTTCTGCATTAATTGATTTTCGCATAAAGATTCGAAGAACGCCGCCCTCGGGCGAAAACCATTCAACGTATATCTATTCATTGTCTATTTGTCCAGTCAGTTGACAATCATTTCGACGATACGGTGAACGGTCGACAAAACTGAAAGTACATCCGCTGGAATTAATAAAGCTTTCCAATGAGATTACGTATTTCCATTGAGCTTTCTTTCGCGGTGGCGCCGATGCACTGTTATTAGTCGGGGCGCTTAACTGGCCAGTTGATCGACGAACGTTATCCGGTCGTTCCACTGGATGGAAAACGTCATATGTAACTTTCACATTAACGGGCGAGCCTCGTGTGGCTATCTCCTCGTATCCACGGGGGAAAAACATGTTTCGTGTGATCTTTTCGAGCCCGGCTTGGATATCAAACGCCGCCCGTTCGATGCCCCCCCCCCCCGGTGTGCATCGTCTGGAATGTATACTTTCATTTGCGGTCTGGCTTCGCCGTGATCTTGTAGCAAGTGCAAGTTCACCTTCCCCCCATTCGCGCGTACACTTGACTTTCGTCTAGGTTTCAATTGACACGCGTCGCTGACCACTCGAGGAGTATATTTGTACTTCGGGCTGGTCGAGATGAAATGGTTGCGGTATATAAAGGGTACGATCTCGAATTTGACTGGTTGATAAGTCATCATAGGACTACAACAAACAATTTAATTATTAGGTAATTAATTATTGTTCTTCAATTATTGTAGCGGTACAAAAGTCTATTCAACTTTTCACTAAGTAAGACTGGTGTATGAAGTCGGGAAATCGGTTTTAATATGAATGGAACAGTATAGATCCTTGACATCTACAGAAATACCGATTTCGCCAAGAAATCGTGAATTACTGATTAGCACAGCTGATATAATATTGTCGTATCCAATTATGTGATTCGCCAGTCCCCGTTATTCAAGCTCGAAGCCATTGGTCCGCGAAACCGAATTGGTCAAACGAACAGTTTTTTCACTGGAGTTTCGTTAATGACGTAAACTCTACAGGTTATTAGTGCAAGCTTATAAGTTACACTAATGCCGAGGATAGTCAGAATATATATCAGAATATATGGCCGTAAAAGATACCGAGTATCAATTAATGGACATTCCGCTGTCGGTGTACAAACTATTCAGAAGTAACGGGAAAATGGTCAGAATCGCGAATAATTTCACATGAGCTGACGTAAAACAGTTTAGAAAGCCATTAGCGATTATACAGAGATAGATACAGAAATAAATGCTATCTATTGGGTCGGAAATCGTGTAACAAAGACTATTTACATGTCTACCTGGTGTAGCCCATACATTTCGGAGACATTTTCTGATTATTCACAATACGGGACGCCGTTAGATCTCTACGCGTTATAAAGTTTTATAGTTGCCGTTTCTATGCAGGCACAGGCAAATCTTGAATAATCGACACTTATTCAGACAGACAAGTGTTGTACCCGTGTGCCACAATCTTCTCACAAATATTTTAAACTCCCGTTAACTGCAGACGCTGATGACACATTTCTCTATCCTTATAGTGACGGTGTGACCATTTTACTTGGGTGTACCGTAACGATTCCTTAGAAATCACCGATTAAGTACCGTGAAACGTGTTTTCCCACAGAAGAAAATTGCATTTCAATGAAATTTCAATGAATACTTTACTCCCTAGGAGGTTGTATGAAATGTTACGGAGTTCTTTCTTAAATAAAGAAAAATTAAAAATTTTTGTAGACGTTTTGAGGGAAGTTCCGAAGTCAGTGAACTTCCAATATTATTTCATTAATATCTGACACTTTGTGTTTAAATATAAAAAGCACTTTCATAAATGAAAGCACATCCAAATTATAAACCGGATTAATCGGAATAGTTCATTTTCTACTATTAAATCATCAGAATGGCCTTTCTATTTTTTTTCTCACTATACTTAAGCCATTTTTCACTATAAGAATCGTTGTGCGACACGATCCGTAACGATCGATCGTGTATCACGGCCGTACAATGGCATTGATCTTCGAGCAGCACGACGCCAGAATTGATCTTCACGGTGAAAGTTCGATAAATCGATCCATGATCTCTGGAAGCTGAGTGAAATCACTTCGCGGATCGAACGTTTTTTTTTTCTTCTTTTCTCGTTCCTGTGATCACGAGGAAACATTATACATAAATGCACTTTTGTGATCGATAGTCGAAAGCGAGGCCTTCGTTAGTGGAATATAGTCGATGATTACAGAATTAAGGATCATACAATGAATTTACCTGGTGCATGCCAATCCTCTGCTTTCCACCATTTAACGTTTCATCCGCACGAAATAAAACCATTCGTGTTTGCACAAATTATCATTCATTATCAGATTATATGTATACTAATCGTGATATCCAATAAGTTTTATAATATATACAGCAACATTGTTGCAACGAGTAATCAATATAGAAAGTGATAAATGATTTTATGTTTGATCCTCGTGCAGCTGATGAAGGAAAATAGCGGAAGTGCTGAGAACGGTACTTTTGTGTTCAATATTACTATTATCCCAATATGTAAATTGTTCCTTCAGAATTATTCGACTTTTACTATTATTTATTCTTTTTATTGTGCATATTTTAGTACCTATATAAATCGTTTCTTTTATGAATGGTTTTGGTGGTTACGCGAATACCGATAAGTGTCGGCCATTTTGGTACTCCCTATACAAAGATTCAGCATAGGTTTACTGTGAGTATGGTCTTCGAGGGTTTTCAATCCATAAATTTTAATAGTTCTATAACAAATATCGCCATTTCGTGCAATAATTCGTACACACTTTGAACGCGTTATAGTGTTTTCCTTAGTACTTGAAAATAATCTAATCTTAACAGTTAATTATTAGTGTAATTATTCCGAGAGGGATCAATACAAAAATTGCTTTTACTTTGAAGTGTCTGGTTAACAGCCCAAGAAATGATAAACACATTTGGCTATCTCGCGATTCATTATCCTATGGATTTCAAGGACGTTCGAAGAACTAGATGTTGCTATGAAAAAAGAAAATAATCAAAATGAATAATCTATGAAATGATAGGTGACACATAGCTTCTGGCGACTGATACTCTGTACATATTCTCATATTTTCCATCATGAGAACTGTAAATCGATGAAAAAGAAAAATTACGGAAGACGCGTGAATGTATCCTGAGAATGAGTTGTCGGACGCTGAGTGTCCCTCGTGAAAGGTCTCTCAAGAGCTAAAGACGGTGAAGCGGGAGATCCATCAGGGGCTCGTGCGAGAATGAGACTTCTCGTACTTTAAACGACACTTGAACGACTATTAAACCTGACTTTTCAAGCCTTTGTCAGCGACAGAGTAGCACACCGTTTCTCTCTCCATAATCGTTTACGAATAATTTCGCAAAATCGTCCGAGGATTAAATTCAAACTCAACACTTTCAATTATCTCTTTTCTATCGGTGTCTAACTAAACATCCTCATTATTGTCAGTGAAACAAGGACATTCTATTAACCATTATTACTCCAAAAACCAGTAACAGAACGCGTGAAACACATCCAACGATCGAAAATCCCTAAAACGGGTCCCCAAGGACCTAAATAAATACAACAGACCAATCCAACAAGCTCTTACCTCAGTGACACCTGGACAGGACTCAGACTCCGCAAGGTACCCAACCACGGATCTTCTCTCCGTTTATTCTCGCGAACGAAGTAAAAAAATTCACGGATAAAACTGGACTAACGACGATATATCGCCTAAGAGACACAGGTGTCGTAACGACGGCGACGAAGGAACACCACGATCTCGTTGTTGTTTCGGAGTCGGCGGTGGTTGTTGGCGTTCAGGTGACACACCAGGCCGGAGGTGGCCGAGATCCTCCCAAAGGGGCAGCTCGCGTTCGGCTCCGGGTTGAAGCTGCGGACCCTGATACGGCGAGGTCGATGAGCAAAGTGGCAGCGGTTTGTGCCCAGCTTCGACGGTCCGCTTTATAACTTTTGGTCCCCGCGCGCTCCGTTGTATTCGGTGTATCCTCCACACCTTTCCAGTCGCGCTATCCAGCAGGCGCTCCTCCAGGTGGTTGTGTCGTGAGAGAGAGACGGTTGGTCCCGACGATGGTGGTGTGGTGGTGGGCACGATATGTGTTCGGACACGTTCACGTTGTCGAACGAGGCCGAAACCGACCGGCGTGGTGGGATCGATCCGTGGGGATAGATCGTCCCGAATCGGTCAGGACGAAACGATCGAGCTCTCTCCCTCCTTCCACCCTCCCTCCGCCCCTCCTGGGGACGGCTGACGCTGTTCCGCCTATGGGGACGATGGATCCCCATCGCGGACCTGCTGTACGTT